GTGGTTTTTGGATTTGTGTCTTGTCTGTATGTGAGTGTGGGTGTGTACATAGCTAGAGAATTCTCTGTACACCGTTGGTCCAATTCGGATGAGATTTGGTATGTAGGTAGGCTATGGGTGATCAATGTTATTCTTATGGGGATTATGTTTGTTTCAGGAGTATGCTTGAGGAAATCTGTTGTCTTAAGCATAAATAAGGGAGAAAGTATGTGTCAGTCTACTGATACCTTTTATTCACTATTGTCTTTCTCCTTTACTTCATAATACTTAGGCTACAAAAAAATTTCAACATTTTTATTTTTTTCAGATGATGGTGCGCTAGATGAGCCACAACCAAAGAGGACAAAACATGAAGGACGTAAGAAAACACGAAGATATGATTTGTGGAAAAGAAATATTTCTAAAAAGAAACGAAATGAAGGTAAATCTTATGTTGATAGGAAAGGCGTACATCATGACAAGAAGCAATTAAGAGAGTGCATCCACCGTTGTAGGTTTAAGTGCAATGACAATCTCAGTGAACAGGATAGGCAAAACATTTTCGAACAATACTGGAATCTTGGAAATTGGGAGCTTCAGTCTGCCTACTTGCATTCATGTATAAAAACAGTAGAACCAAGGAGAAAGAAATTATTTGGACAAGGATCAAAATCTCTCAGCGCCCAATATTTTTTTCTTGACAAGAGAGTATGCAAGAAATTCTTTCTCTGTACTCTTGATATCTCTAACAAAAGAGTGACAAATGTTATCAACAAGAAGACGATTTCTACTTCTGGGATTTCTCCTAGGGACAAGAGGGGTCATAAAGTACCTGGAAACAAACTTTCTGAAGACAAAGTTGCATTCGTTAAAGAGCATATTCGTAGATTTCCAAGATACACAAGTCATTATTCACGCAGTCAAGCTCCAAATAAAAAATATTTATCTCCTGGCCTAAACATCAAAAAGATGTACAACTTGTACAGAGAAAGCTGCGTTGAACACATGGTAGAGCCTGTGAAGGAAAGCTATTATCGCCACATCTTTAATACGGAATTTAACTTGAGCTTTCACAGACCACATACCGACACTTGTGTTACTTGTGACACACTGCAGAATACCATCAACAATGGAACTCCAGATGAGAAACAAAGCGCTATTACACAAAAGGAAGTACATTTGCGGAAAGCAGAATCGGCACGACAACAAATAAAGGACGCTCAAGAAACTGCCAAAGATGATACTAGTCACTTTGTGATTTGTTTTGACCTGCAAAAAATGCTACCCTCTCCGGTCCTTACCTGCTCCAGAGTGTACTACGCGCGACAACTGTGGACGTATAATTTTTGTATACACAATTTGGTAAGTAACAACGCTAGTATGTTCATGTGGCATGAGGCTCAGGCTGCTAGGGGCTGTGAGGAGATGCTCTCTTGCCTGTTGCGACTTGTAAAGACACTGCCTACAAGAGTAAAAAAAATTACAATGTTTAGTGATAATGCAGGTGGGCAGAATAAGAGCCGTTTCACAGTGAAGTTCTGGTTGTATATAGTACGTACTACCCACATTGAGGAGGTGGACCATAAGTACTTATTGTCTGGTCATTCGTATAATGATTGCGACAAAAACTTTGGAGTCATTGAAAGAGCCCACAGGAATTCAGGTACAGGGATATTTACACCAGAACATTGGATGAATATTGTTGCTAAATCGTCTAGCAGATTCATGGTAGTGAACATGGAAGACCAGGATTTCATTTCTTTGAAATCTTTGGAAGAGCATTACGTTAAGTCAGTCACAGGTATTCGTAGTATGCAATGGCTACGTTTTCAAAAGTCAGATCCCTATACACTGTTTTATAAAAACACATTCAATGCTGACATGCCTTTTTCGCAGTACAATATGAAGCCCAAGGAGGCTCCAAAACAACGCCTTCCTCAACAACTATCAGCCAAAAATGCTGCCCCAGGAATTAAAGCAAGCAAGTACAAAGACTTACAGAGCCTGCTTCAGTTCATTCCTCCATCATATCATGCCTTCTACAAAAATCTGAAGATTCAGCGAGAAAGACAACAGCCTGGAAGGGGAGGAACAGTGCCAACCGATGCTGAGGAAGACCGTACTGAAGTTGAAGACGAAGAACCTGATGCCGTTTGGGAAACTGATTCTGAGTAATAACTCAGACGTTATTACGGACAATACAATGTCTCTGTATTCAACTCACTATTTTTGTTTACATTTTGTATTTTAATAAAAGTTCTCTTATACACTATTTTAATTTTTTTCTTCAACTTATTGTCCTTTGGAAGACAAGAGGTACAAGTGACGCTTGCTATCACTATTATCTTAATAACTACCATATTTCCTAAGATTTTTTCACAAAATTAGTATCTAAATTTAAGTTATGATGTGTACAACACAACTTCAACTAATTTAATTTTTAAAACAGGTTGGTTGTTTTACCATAGCATTTTAACTTTGAAGAGTTTTATCTCAAAACTAAGAAACCGTCACTTGTACCCCTTGGCTTCTGACCCCCTCATATAACATGGTAATAATAACTGTGATGACGTACGGTATGGGAAATATTTCATTCATTGAATGATCAACCAAATTTGGCAACTAACTCAATTAATATCATTATTGTTTTTACACCTATTACTCTTTAAACAATGCTAAATGCTCAAAATATGTGTATTTCACCCAATCTATCGCAGTAAATGGGAGTAAATCGTGTAAATGGGAGATTGGGGTTCCCCCCGTCAGCGTGCTGATGGTCCCCTTCCTCCTGGCTATTGATGGCGGGTTCTGCCTGTCAGGGATGAGATAGGTCCCGAGTGTTGCTTGCACTAAATGCGTCGGGGCGCTCTACTATGGACCTCTAGGTTCCGACCTAGTGGAACCCAGGTGGAGTGACGCTTAAACAAGCAGCCGGAATCCCTGGTTAGGATTGAGGGGCAACCCTCTTTCCGAAGGGTCTGCTTCGGCAGCCGGCGAGCCTGATGACCTTAAGTCATCCGCCCATGATGTGCTAAAGGTTGATGCGTAAGCTTCGGCCTACATCATGGGGCCCGGGTATGTCCTGAAGGATAGGTACCGGGTAAGCAGTCAGGGGGCTTCGGCTCTCATGACAACAAATCTAAATCTAAATCTAAATCTATCGCAGTTGGATGAATTAACGTAAGCCTTGAAAGTAATAGCACAGAAAACGTACTACTATAACCCAGAATGCCAACCGCATGGTAAAAAGCATTAAGCGTTTTGAGAGAGCTTTGCCTGTCAATCCGTAGTCAGCGCCACCAGCGTTGCCATGCAATACCATAGCAACGCTGGTGGCGCTGACTACGGATTGACAGGCAAAGCTCTCTCAAAACGCTTAATGCTTTTTACCATGCGGTTGGCATTCTGGGTTATAGTAGTACGTTTTCTATGGTAATAGGGAATAAGCTAACCGTAGTACTTATGGTAAGACCTGGACGCGGGACCGATTTTTTTTTCGTTTTGAGGTCCCTAGAGGCCAAAAACACCATCCGTTCAAATTCATATATATATTTATATATTTATATATTTATATATTTATATATTTATATATTTATATATTTATATATTTATATATTTATATATTTATATATTTATATATTTATATATTTATATATTTATATATTTATATATTTATATATTTATATATTTATATATTTATATATTTATATATTTATATATTTATATATTTATATATTTATATATTTATATATTTATATATATGTGTGTCCGTCAGCACTCGAGCAAAAATGATCCGATTTTGATGAAATTTGGTACAAACGTGTAAACGTACGTTTATTCGAACGAGTTCGCGATCCAGCATGATCGGACCATGGGAACGGGGGTTTACGGGGGGTTTTATGGGGTAAAAATAGGTTTTTCCCATTTTTGACCAAAAAAACATAAAATTTAGCAATTTCTTTCCAAACCATTTTGTAGAGCTTAAAAAAAAAATAATTTAGTATATTGAAGCGTTATTATGCGCCTAATGGTTACGGAGAAAATTCAAAAAAATTGTAAATTTAAAATTCCCATGTTATTCTTATGGAGAATAAGTAAACTGTTGTAGTTTGCTTGTTTGTGAACATATATCTTGATCAAATTTGGAAAATGTTTTTATTTCTTACTAGCTATTCACATTTTACAAAAAAAGCAGTTTTACCCTCCCTGATGCAGCAAACCTAAGTACTTGTTAAACTAATTCTATTCATATCAAGAATAAATTTTATATTTGTAAGTAGACATTTCAGTGTAAATCCAATCAGTCAAATGGAAATTCGCTTAGTCTGCAGGTTTGCTGCGGCGGGGGTATTTTGGATTTATGACAACATCTAATTTGAACCAACCAGCAAAAAAGTTGAGAAAATAAGAATTTAACTTTTTTTGTTTAGGGGCAGTGGTAGAACATTCTGGCTATGGTAGATGTGCTATACAATAGCATACCACAAATTAAAATAAACAAATTTTCTTAAACCGTATCCTTTCCCATTACAAACGCAAAGCACGTGTATAACTGCAATAAGCATTTTATCAAAGGACTGGTCTGCTAGTAAAACTATAAAAATCAATTTGATTAAACTTGGAAAAGTGAAAAGTTTTAATTAAATTATTTTACACGCCTTGGGTTCTATAAGTAAAACTTTTTCTACATATTTTTCAGGATACTACAAAGACTACAGCGTCTTCCGAGCTTTGAATATGTTTCTACGAAAATCAAGTAAAGGTCAGTTCTTAAAGAAAAACCAATCCGCTATTAAAAGTTTTGCTGAAAAGTGTCCACAAATGGTCTAAAATTCAAACTCACAAATCAAGGTCACTACGTCAATAACCCTAAAACATCATACGTTCTTAACTCAATCCATCAATTAATTATCATGCAAAAATTGAATATAATAGAGCCAAAAAGCCTATACGTATTTTACCGCTGATGACATAAAGTTGTCAACTGTCACTGTGACAAACCCCTGCAGTTCTGCTGCTGCACGGTACAGTCGAGTTATCTCTAAACAACTGTACTGAGGGAGACATGCTTGTAGATGATGGCCACGACCAGCGGGGGCGTTACGTTATGGCCTACAGTTGTCACAGTGTGTCCGACATGCGCTCTCGCTCTGTCTTGTGGTGATCCACATTATTTTATTATCATTACATACACGTTTATTTTCGTCCGGTTTTGGTGCTGTTTAAGTGTGGAAACCTGTTCTAAAATAGTTTTCAACTCGACATTGACGGTTCCTAAATTATAGGTATTCAAAATAGTTACTCTAAAACTATAAATATAATTTAGGGAAATGTTGAAACTTAGAAACTATTCTTTAACAATTGCTTTTATGTCGCTACCCCATTAAAGACGTTTGACTATTTAATTCTGTTTAGGATTTATAAATTACTAATAGTGTTAACGTGCACAATTTAAACTATTGTCTAACAACTTTATATTTCTTTGAATTCATTTAATTTACATTTTAACAGTGCTAGAATTATAAAATACTCTACATCGCATAGCTAACTGTCCTTAGCTTTATCTTATTTAATAATAATGGACTTAAAAACTAATAAATAAATTAATGTACTAAAAGGGTCCATTTATTCATTATGAGCATAGGCCTACTTACGATCTTTATGGTGTAGCCTGAAGAACGTAACCGCTTTGGACAAATCCTTAAAATAGTGTCAGAAGAATTTAACTATTATTACCAAGACTATATCTTTTAGCCAGATTCGAAAATTGATTACTTTTTCGTAATATATGTTTAATATAGAGTAATTACTTCAGTTATGTAAACAGAATTATTTGAAGGGTTTTCTGGTAAAAAGTTTATTATAGTTTTATCTTAATAGTGATGGCTTCCGCCAACAATTATCGATATAGTTTATTTTTTTAAGTCGTTAACTCGTCTAATAAATAAGAGTGTTTCACGACTTCAAATATTAGCCATGGCTCTTGACATTCGCCTGGAATATTAACCCTAGGGTTAAAGTCCATGGCATGAGTCAAGACTATTTCATGAATCATAGGTAGCAACTAATCATCTAATAGTTTGAGCTATTATCATTCCAACTAAGTTGAATTGTTCTTTATCTTAGGACGAAACCGTAAAAGTACATTAAATGTAAAAATATTTTAACCACTTTAATCAGAAGCAAATTATTAAAATAATTATGGTAATCGAGCCAACCTGTTTACACACGTAGGGTCTACAAAATAATTTTACTGGCTAATTAAGCTCATGATGAAATAGTTGAAAAATAAATACTACTTTTTAAAACTAGTCTTTGAAATAAAAAGATAGTTAAATACCCAAACAAACAGCAAACTTGCAGACTAAGCGAATTTCCATTTGCCTGACTGGATTTACACTAAAATATCTCTTTAACAATATTAGCGAATTTCCCTATAGGGAAGTAGCTATTACCGTAGGTCTCATGGTAAGACCTAGGCCCGGGACCGATTTACTTTTTCATTTTGATGTCCCCAGAGGCCAAAAACACCATTCGTTCAAATTTTTATATATCTATATATAGATATATATATATATATATATATATATATATGTGTCCATCCGCACGATAACTTGAGTAATTTTTGTCCGATTTCGATAAAATTTGGTTTGAAGGTGTAAGGCGGGATAAACTTGAATGAGTTCGCGAACCAGCATGATCGAACTATGTTTACGGGGGTTTATGGGGGGTTTTATGGGGTAAAAATAGGTTTTTCCCATTTTTGACCCTAAAAACGCAAAATTTCACAATTTCTTTCTAAACCATTTTGTAGAGCTTAAAAAAACAAATAATTTAGTATATTGAAGCGTTATTATGCGCCTAATTGTTACGGAGAAAATTCAAAAAAATGTTAATTTTAAATTCCCATGTTATTCTTATGGAGAATAAGTCAACTGTTGTAGTTTGCTTGTTTATGGACATATTTTGATCAAATTTGGAAAATACATTAATTTCTTACTAAACTACAGTACCTTTTAACATTTTACATTAAAAAAAAAACTTTTTTACCCTCCCTGTTGCAGCAAACCTAAGAACTCATTTAACTAATTCTGTTTAAATAGGGAATAAATGTGATATTTTTAAGGAGACATTTTAGTTTAAATCCAATCAGGCAAATGGAAATTCGCTAAGTCTGCAGGTTTGCTGCGGCGGGGGTATTACATTTATTCCCTATTTAAAAAGCATTGTTAATTAAAAGACGAGCCGTTTAGTGAAAATTATAAACGAAAACGAATTTTAAGGAATTGAAATACCCCCACTTCAGCAAACCTGTAAATTCGTTAATAAAGGAAATTAATATATTGAAAATCAGAGAATTTCAATTTGTCTGATTTAACTCAAATATTTCCACAAACAAGTCATATTTATTCCCCGTTTGAATAACATTAGATTAAACGAGTACTTGGGTTTCATGCTACGGGGAAGGGATTTTTTTATAAAATGTTAATAGTATACGAAGGCAAGAAATTTGCCAGTTCTAGCCAACATGTGTCCATAAACAAGCAAACTACTGTACAACAGTTTGATTTTCTCCTTAAGAATAACTATGAATTTTAACTTTAGATTTTTTTACTTTCCTCCTAAACCTATAATCGTACAACAACACTTCAATGTCAAAATATTGTTTTTAGCTGTTAATTATTGCTATAATAGAAATTGGATATTATTACGTGTTTCATAGGTAAAAAACAGTTTAGAAAACAATTCAAAACTCCACATCAACCCGTTCCCATTACTATTACTCGATCTTGCTGATACGTGAACTCTTTCAAGTTTATCACAATATTTATTACAATGCTTATTACGACTTTTACCGCAGTGAAATAATACTTTGCTCGCCATAACCAAATTTGTATATTTATGAGCAGTAAGAGTTTAACTATTACCATAGACTGCGTATGTTTGATCTATTCTATAACTAGCTAATCAACATTGAGTGATGAGAACCCATTTTGTAGCTTTTTAAAATAAGAAAAATTTCAATGTTCACATTGATAAAACAAAGGTTTTGATACTTTGAGCGTCTTGAATGGACTTACATCTTACATGAACAACACATTATTGATAAAATTAACTTATTGATTTAATAAATGTATAGGGTATAATGACAAAAGGTCAAGGTTGACATTATGCATTTAATATCGAATTTAGTGACATTATTAGTGCTGTGGGACATAATCCGTTGCCAAAACCACGTGGGAATCAACAATGGTCGCAACAACAACAACAGCATCTCCAACAGCGACATGTCACTTACCTTGGGACTGGACGATTACTCCAACAAAAACAACAACAACAACAGCAGCACGACGAGGATATGTAGCAGCACCGACGTTCGCAACAAGGTATTACAAGTAACCGAGTAACGGTAGTTCGAGTTAACACGAGGATTATCCTTAAATCTATCTTCTATACATGGTGTACCTGAATTCTACTGACCTTTTAAGGATTCCTGGACCAAAGACAAACTAAAATATCATATTTAAAACTTTCAAAACTCAATCCTCCATTTTATTTTTTCCACAAAACTATTTTTAATTTGAAAACAGCTTATTGTAGTGAATTGAAATTTAATGCATGTATTAATAAATTAACTTCTTGATCAGCATTGTACGTGTTATTAAATTTACGGAAAGTAAATAAAAAAAACGTCTTATAACACTTAAAACATTGTTTTAAGTGTTATAAGAAGTTTCTTTTATTTACTTAGCCTGGATTGGTTTTCAATTAATCTATTAAATTAACATTTATGTTTCGAGTACCTAGGTTATCTGCTACAGGAAAACTAATAAAGTGTGTTTTTATTAAAATGTCAATAGCTTAGTATGAAATAAATAAATCCGCCAAGTTTGATCAAAATACATCCATAAACAAGCCAACTACAACATTTTACAATATTCTTTATAAGAATAACATGGGGATTTTGAATTTACAATTTTTTGAATTTTCTCCGTAACCCACGTACGAAAACACTTTGATATACTTAATTATTTGTTGTTTTTTTTCTCTTTAAAAAGGTCTGGAGAAAAATTGATGAATTTTGTGTTTTAAGGGTAAAAAATTAGAAAACCCCATTTTTACCCCATAAAACGCCCCGTTCCCATGGTCCGATCATGCTGGTTCGCGAACTCATTCATGTTTATCCCGCCTTACACCTTCAAACCAAATTTTATCAAAATCGGACAAAAATTACCCAAGTAATCGTCCGGACGGACACATATATATAAATACTAGCAGAGTACCCGTCGGGGTTGGCATATAAGTATGTTATAATTACCATGAGATTAATGAGATGGGATTACCATGAGACCTACCGTAATAGCTACTTCCCTTTAGGGAAATTCGCTAAAAAACTACCCAGGTAAACAAAAACTACTGTGTGGTAATGTTTTATTTAGGCATTTTTCTTACAATAATACAAGTTAAGAAAATCGGTTCAAGGGAGATAACTCAATTCTAAGATAGTGTATGAAATAATATCTGTAGTCATTGGGTAAGATCACTGCTAGATAGCTAAAACAATCAGCCGTTTTAATTGTTGGTTTAACAATGAGCGCAAGCAAATATTGGTGTACACAGTATCTTAAAAATGCGTTTCCTCCCTTATTTATGAACCGATCTTCTTAATCTGTTATTGTTAGAATTGTAAGAACATTGTCTAAATGCATTCAGTAGTTTTGTTTACCTAGGTAGTTTTTATGATATTTCAATTTTAAAATGTTTAATTTCCGCCATTCACATGATAAAAATAACAATATTCTCAAAATAGGTATTACGTTCCTGTTCATAAATTAGCTTTCAGAATGTCAAAATATATTTGATCACTTTCGTTAAAAGAATAATATTCTGTATATTTCTTTGTAATCTCGATAATGTTGTTAAATGTCTCAATGTCGATGATTTATTTTAAGCTAGTGTAAACTAACATCTGTCTATCAGATTGCAAACAATGAAAATCTAACAATAGGAACGAGGGACTGGGTGGTTTGTTCGAGCTCAGGATATTTTACTTTTCCTGGAAACCCTTTTTAGAACGTATAGCATTTTTCCTTTCATGTATCAGCTTAAAATAATTTGATACATCAAAATTTTCCATTCTACACACAAATATAACGAAACTTATGTGCTAAACGCAAAAGCATTGTACCCCATATTAACTGAGTGGAAACTAATTTAACCTATTAATGTTTGTAGCCCCCAGAATCGCTGAACGCCAAGGTAATCACATCGATGTATAATAACTCTAATGTAGAGTTATTATACATCAATGGGTAATCAGAGGCAATTCTTTATCAAGCAACTACAACATGTATAGCGTAGGTGTCAAACCCTAGCGCTGAGGGGTTTCCGTGTACTCGAGGGGTTAGTCCAGATTGTGTTGATAGATCATGCTAAAGACACAGGCTACAACTACAGCTACTATAAAGTAGCATGTGTTTATTTTCAGGTGTCAAAGCTGGAGGCGCTGCGGTGTTGTCGTGCTAATGTAGTTCAAGGGTTCGTCCATATTGTGTGATAGATACTAATAAAATCACAGGCTACAACTACATCTACTATAAAGTACCGGTAACATGTTTTTAATTGCAGGTGTCAAACCTGGAGGCGCTGCGGGGTTGTCGTGCTAATGTAGTTCAAGGGTTCGTCCATATTGTGTGATAGATACTAATAAAATCACAGGCTACAACTACATCTACTATAAAGTACCGGTAACATGTTTTTAATTGCAGGTGTCAAACCTGGAGGCGCTGCGGGGTTGTCGTGCTAATGTAGTTCAAGTGTTCGTCCAGATTGTGTTGATAGATCATGCTAAAGAGTAAAGTCACAGGCTACAACCACAGTTACTGTAAAGTAACATGTGTTTATCTGTAGGTGTCAAACCTGGAGGCGCTGCGGGGTTGCCGTGTAGTCGAGGGGTTCGTCCAGATTGTGTTGATAGATCATGCCAATGACACAGACTATGACGAGTTCTCCTTTCCTGAGCTGCGCGAAATCACTCAGTATCTTCTTTTCTACCGCGTGTCAGGACTGCGGAGTGTTGGCCAGCTGTTTCCATCGCTCTCCGTCATTCGGGGCAACGCTGTTTTCCAGGATTACGCTCTCATAATCTATGAGATGTTCCACTTACAAGAGGTCGGGCTGCGCAGTCTCATGGATATTACACGTGGTGCAGTACGCATTGAGAAAAATCCTAGTAAGTGATTTTAAATTTTCTAAGACAAAATTAGAGGTGGTAGTAGTAACAGTAAAGTACCTATTTGATTTAAATTAGGCCTATAACATTTACCAGCAGGAAAAAAAGAAATGGGATTACATGTATATGATCTTGCCGTACCTAGGCCTATATTCTTTTCATAAACCAGTTTCGCTTTCCAAATATCTAAATAAATTTAACTGGTTAGGTTTCGGTAATCACAACACAAACCTCTACATTTTTACACCTTTCTCAGTCATCCTCGATTTCGAAAACGGCCACAAAAGTTGAAAATGTAGATGAAGTTCCAGCAGGTTATTTAGTCATCTCGATGTCATGTGACGAACTCACGGTTTATGTTTGGTATATTTTAGACTAAAATCGTTGTGACAAGACAATTATTGATCATAGCTGCCTGATCTACGAGTATTTATTACAAGATAACAAAATCATAACAAGGGCCACGAAGAGACTCGCCCTGAGTCATTTCAAGGTCAAATACATTTATAGCTCGTTACTTGATGGAGCAGCGGGGTGCGTTACCTACACAGAATACGTGTTTACGAGGTTAATATGACCATCCATTATCTATCTCACAATCATATTACTATGCTGCTGGTGTGGTTGTGTTGTTACCTTAAAAGCGAACGATTTATGAACTTCATATAGGACCATTAACTATACAACAAACACATCTCATGATGAGCTGGTGTGGTAGTGGGGACTTTGAGAGTAAACCACATAGCAGAGAGTAAACTTGTTTTATGACATTCATAACGACATTAATTAATTATCACACAATCACGTTAGACTTGGTATGGTATCGTGATCTTGACAGTAAAAATGTTACGACATTCATTCATACAAGTACTTCCATTAGTTTATCACACAAACCATGACTTAGTGTGGTAGCGTGACCTTTACAGTTAAATACGTTACACCGACGTTCATATTGCCATTAATTATCACACAATTAAATTACCATGACTTTGCGGGGTAGCGTGACTTTGACAGTAAACGTTTTATGACGTTCATATTATTTCCATTAATTATCACACAATCACATTACCATGACTTTGCGAGGTAGTGTGACCTTGACAGTAAACGTTTTATGACGTTCATATTGCCATTAATTATCACACAATCATATTATAATGACTTAGTGTGGTAGCGTGACTTTGACAGTAACGTTTTAGGACGTTCATATTATTGCCATTAATTATCACACAATTACATTACCATGACTTGGCAGGGTAGTGTGACCTTGACAGTAAACCTTTTATGACGTTCATATTATTGCCATTAATTATCACACAATCATATTATAATGTCTTTGCGGGGGGGGGGGGGGCGTGACTTTGACAGTAAACGTTTTACGACGTTCATATTATTGCCATTAATTATCGCACAATCACATTACCACGACTTTGCGGGGTAGCGTGACCTTGGTATAAACGTGAGGTTCATGGCCATTCATTATCTCTCAATCACATTACTGAGACATTGTGACCTTGTCAACCACATGACACCAAGTTTATGGCCATTAGTAATCTCTCTTTACATGGTAAACGTGTCATTACAGTGACATTGCCGTCACTGCTTGGTGTTGACGTATTATTTTGTCACTGATCATATTGTTCAATTCCATGATTCAATTGTGAAATGTACAATAACACAGTTGTATAGTTGGATCCGTTCCCTAATCTTTGATTGTAATTTGACTAATGCAGTTGACTGTGATGCAAAAATCTTCTATTACTTAACTGATGGTCCAAAACGTATTTGGAAGCGTTTCAACATTTTGGGAATAAATTTTTACAAGAAGAGGTCTTGAAGGTTATTTGTACCAACCTATGGTATGGCATAGTTAGTAACAAAGCTGGTATCTACTCAAAATTAACTATGCTCATATATTACCCGTAAATCATAATTAATTGTCCTACTTCTGGATATTGATATATATAAACTAGCTGACTTCGTATCGCCTAAGTTATAGGTTTCCCCTAAGACAGACCGATGGAAAGAAAGTACCGTTACGTTTAATTTTCAAGATGATCTCGTTTGCATCGCTCAATCACGTCCTGGTTGAAGTTCGTTCGCTATGCTCACTCACCTTTGGGTTGGAGCTCGTTCGCTACGCTCACTCACCTTTAGGTTGGAGCTAGTTCGCTACGCTCACTCACCTTTAGGTTGGAGCTCGTTCGCTGCGCTCACTTGCCTTCAGGTTAGCTCGTTCACTACGCTAACTCGCCTCCAGGTTGAAGTTCGTTCGCTACGCTCACTCACCTTTGGGTTGGAGCTCGTTCGCTACGCTCACTCACCTTTAGGTTGGAGCTCGTTCGCTGCGCTCACTTGCCTTCAGGTTAGCTCGTTCGCTACGCTAACTCGCCTCCAGGTTGAAGTTCGTTCGCTACGCTCACTCACCTTTTGGTTGCAAATTAGCTGTTGTCATAAATGTAAAAGAAATAATAGTGCTGCACCCTGTTGGTAATCCTTGTAACTTTAATGCTATTGAACATCATAGAACAGAACCAACTTGTTTAATTGAAACAGCTGTTAAGATTCATTAATTCCATTTCTCATAAGGTTAACATGGGAAACTCCAAAGCCACTGGGGCGGAGCCCTTTTAAGAATTTCGAAACGGGAAATAGTTTACGTCCGATTCGCATACCTACAGAATTTACACACCAAATTTCATAACGATCGGTGAAGTCGTTCCGGAGGAGTTTGCAGACAAACACTGTGACACGAGAATTTTATATATTAGATAGAATTATTTTGTTACCTTTACAATATCCTTATTCTTCAGGTAGAACTACATGTTTTGTGGCAACTACCACACCATCAGGTTCATCCTCCTAATTGTAAATGTATGACAAGCGTAGAAGAGGATGAACCTGATGGTGTGGTAGTTGCCACAAAACATGTAACTTAGTTCTACCTGAGGAATAAGGATATTATAAGGTAACAAAATAATTCTATTTATTACCCGTAAATCACCATTTATAGCCAGGCACTCAAACATATTACCTTCCAAATTATCTTTGATAAAATCCACAATATTATGTACTGTAACAATAACAAAAAACTAAATCCACATTGTTTAAACAGTCAAAGTGGTCACTGGAATGCTTTTTGTCTATGCTGCAATGATCACATAAGACCAAAGGGGTCACTTGGCATATGACCCTAATGTTCTAGGACATTTTGTGCACGTAAGTAAAATATTATTTGCTAGAAAAAATGACTTATTTCAGATTGAACTTAAACCTTAAAGATTCTGCAAAGTACCAGTAGCCTTTTTGAAATACTATTTTGATTTTGATCAATCACACTATTCCTTGTTATTGTGCTTGTATTAGACATGCATGTACATTTACAGCGTGCTAACATAGACATTGATGGTAGTGACATCTCTCTCTAGTTCTCGCCCACCATCAATTGACCTTTGATAGTTGGCCTAAAGTCTCGATATTGTAAGCTATTGCCATTAATGGCCGAGAAGGCAATGATTGACCAATTCTTTTACCACCTGTCCCTTCGTCTTGATGGAGTATAATCTTTTTACTACTCATATTTTCCGAACATGAGGTATAACCCCACCCCCCTTACAAGAACATGAACCAACATTCAAACCTTTAAGAAAAGCTTTTACTCTGTTGTTTTCATAACAAAATAAACCCTTTAAAGGAAATATATTGTAAACTGTAACAAGTTATTATGGAATGTAAGAGGGCATCTAAACCAAAATTGATTGTGAGGTCCTAGTATCAGATCAAAAATGTCTATAACAATAAAGTTTTCTCTAAGAATTTGTTAAAAATATTAGTGCATATGTGTTACTAAATTCAAATGGTGGTATCCATTAAATACAAAAATTCTCACGAGCTCTCTTTAAATCCAGAAATCCTCATAACTATTTATCTTTCCATCTATTTATCTATATAACTTAGGTACTTAAGACAAAAAGGGTTTCACTGTAACAACTTTTTCAGCAGGTCTACTTAACCAAGTTTTACAATTTAGGTGTCATTTTAAAGCTTATGATTTAGCAAATTGATCAATGGAACCTGGAACCCTAATTAAAAAAGGCAATTTTCTATATTGCTTCACCCCTTCTGTTTAATTTTTTTGCTTTCAATGATTTAGTGGTGCATGAGATACCAGTTTACAAAATATATTGCTGATTTGAAATAATAGGCTAGACTTAGTTAATAATAAATAATTGAACAAGCAACCACCATATCTCACTGAATTGTGCAAGTACAATAAATGTTGCAGGTTTGTGTTTTCTGAATACAATTAACTGGGACCTGATAGCTCGCTGGGATGCTGTAAAGAACTACATTTCCTACAACAAGAACCCTGAAGACTGTCCTGGTCAATCTGTGTGTCTGGAGGCAGGTTGTCCTTTACAGTTGTGTTGGACCAGTACTGACTGCCAGGTAACATATATTTCGGAGATAGGTATGACCATTAATGGAGTAGAAATATCATTCCCTGTTAAAACAGCATTTAGGCGTCAAATAAGAATTTTTCGAGTAATTAATTCCCAGCCAGCTGGAAATCGTTTTAATACCTTCATCTGGTCCCAAATAAGTGTAATCTGAGTTTGCACCGTCCTATGAGGTGAGCTTACATTATGGCAGCCTAAAATAAATTAAATTTTAGCACTTTTTTCAGTTTTATCCAAGTTGCTCAAAAACAATGTGTCGGACACATAAACAACGTCCTTTTAATATCAAAGAGGATTCAATTGTGCGTATAATGAGTATATAAATATCCAAATTCGGTTAAGTAGTATAGCCAAAATATTAAGTTTTAAATATATATTTATTTTGGTTTCATTGCATTTAAAATTTTGCGACTTTCCAGAACCCCATACTATCTTTGAATAAAACACACCCATGACCATTTCCTTCTTCATAGGAAGTAAGAGTGGGGAAAACAGCTGATCAAGCATTCCCAGCTGTTGTATAGTACAACAATATCATTGCTAAGTGGCTGTCGTCAGTCACTTTGGAAGTGACGTTTTGTGTACACGATGTGGATGTAGTTTAAAAATAATTGAGGGCGTTTGCCAGCCGACACCAGGAAAACATTTTTTTTACAAAATAAAAAAGACACGGTTGAAACCTCCGCTTAGCGCCTGATGCAGGGTTAACATTATTTACAAATGATCTATAAAGATGATAAAACCAAGGTGGTGTTTGATTAATGATTAAAGTATTAATGGTTTTACAAAAGCAGAGCTTAAAGAAACATATCAGCTTATAATTCATATAAAAATAATTTTCCCACTTGCCCACCACGCTTGCTCTGATGTTAATTCTTTCGAATGCTTTTCTTTTTGCTTGAATATAAATAATGTTTTTTTATAAATTTTTACTTGTGAAATTATGTATTGTTGATAATTCATAGGTAATTTATTGTTCATTAATTAATTGTACTGAAATGGCATATCAGGCACTTGCTCAATTCCCATATTAGACTGTGCTTTGTACTGAAAATTTCTTGTGAACAAAATAACAAGAATAACGTGGACCCAGGGGTTGGGCTGTGTCCCAAGCGGGCTATTTATGTACCATAAAGATAAATTTAGAGAAACTATTATATTACTGTTTATTTTTATTTGTAATATCAAAGAAAATTTCATAGTTGCCACTCGAAGGGTTCAGTCAAGCAGCCTCAATAATAGGTATCTGTGAACTTTTACTCCACGCATCTTGTCTGTGAACAGCCGGCTCAGGGCCCCTTAGTCCTTGTTACCCTTCTGGTCCACGACCATAATGGACTCCGCCTCACACATGAATCATGAGCATATACAAAAAAATAACACTTTTAGTAATCTTACAGAAATATACTACTGTGTAAGATTTAATTTCCATACAAACTCTAAATGTTGTTCATAGATACAGCCTGGAGGCTTGTTCAAACGCTGTGATCCACAGTGCATGGGAGGATGTTCAGGTCCTGGGCCACATAACTGTCATTCATGTCGCAAATACCTCACAGTTGAGGGAGAATGTGTCAGCAGCTGTCCCAACAATACGTTAGTACATTTATATATTGTCATTGTGTTTTTCAAGGGTTACCATTGTAAAGAACCAGTAATCTAGCGTAAGCTCTTTTAAAACATAAAGAGAAATATAAAAAGTTTCATCAGTAATCATGCCGTAATATTTTTTTTTTTTATTTGACAAATAAAGAGTTTTTATGCATTTCCCACGGACAAACATAAATAAAAGGTTACGTTTGATTGGAAAGGGCTTATCACCTGAGAATTAAGGAGTCAAAGAGCAGGATAAGTAGGCTTACATTAAGATTGTAGGGGTTCCACTTCACTAAAGTAACACAAAAAAACACTGGATATTTTAAGGCCAATGGCCTCTTTCAACATGAGAGTCACTACACAGATTATGGAAGTCCTTCACTGCCAAAGCGAGCAGTGTTGCCCACACAAAATACATTTACAAATGATTCAGTGGCTGCAAAATATTCAATGTTTTATTTTGTTTTACTCTTTAGTTAAATGGGGTGTGTAAATTTTTAAGATAAGCCTGCTTATACAGCCCTTTGTCTCCTTAATTAACATATAAAAAATGGACTAGTTTTGAATACACTTATAAATTGGCAATGCACAATCAAAACTCTAATTTTAATTGATTGGATGATTAATGTTTAAGGGGGCTGATGCGCCCTTATCTATATATTAATATACAAATTACTGTACAGTATAGCATAAAAGACAAAAATTAATATTTAGGAGTTTAGGAATCAACGAGGCAGCCTTGGAAAAATATTTATATGGTTCTGTGGAAATATTTTTCACATTTTATCTTCATATTTTTCATTTTTCAGGTACATTCATCTCAATCACAGATGTGTCACAAGAGATCACTGCCTATCATTAATAGACCATCGGCTTGATTCCAGTGGATCCAAATTTGTAGTTTTCAATGGGACATGCATACAAAATTGCCCCCCAGGCTACGATTTCACTAAAGACGGAAAGGGCTGTGAGAAGTGTGTAGGGAAATGTCGGAAAGTGTGTCCAGGACTCAGCATAACTAATATTGCTGCTGCACAGAACCTCAAAGGATGTACTTTTATAAACGGTTCACTGGAGATTGCAATAAAACACGGCAAACATAAGATACTAGTACAAGAGCTAGAAGAAGGTCTGCAGTCAATAGAGCAAATAAAGGGATATTTGAAAGTGATAAGGTGTTTCCCCTTAGTGAATCTAAAGTTCTTTAAAAGTTTGGAAATCATACATGGCTACCAACCTCTACTTGAAAACGGCAAGTACTCGTTAATCATTTTAGATAATCAAAATCTTCAAGATTTATGGGATTTGAATATAAATGGAACCGGTTTTAAAATTTTAAACGGCAGAATATTTTTTCATTACAATCCAAAGTTGTGCTATCACCACATTTTGAATCTTATAAATACTGCTAATCTCACAGATATAAATAATTTTGAGGTTGCTCGGGATTCAAATGGTGATAAATTTTCTTGTATCACCACAACTGTGAATTTAACATTTCCATCAGTTGCATCTACGTTGGTACTAATCAATATATGGTTGCCAAATCAAATGGGTCCCGTCTTACAACGATACGTTCTCTATTACACTGAGGCTCTCAGCAGGAATATGACAGTATTTGAAGAAACAGACGAATGTGATGACGATAGCTGGAAGGTAAGAGATGTTCTGGTATACTCTGACGTACAACCCTTACCCACATTACAGCCCAATCTGGAACCTTATACACAATATGCCTTTTATGTTAAAACCTACACAAATAACAGTATCGGTGGACAAAGTCCCATCTATTACATTCATACACTCCCTTCACAGCCTTCTAAAGTGTATCTGATACATGCTGAATCAAATCACAGTTCGACCATAGTACTTCAATGGCAGCCCCCTGCACGGCCCAATGGAATCCTGTCTAGTTATATCATACAAGGTATCTGGCAGAGGGATGAAAGATCAATATTGTTTCAGAGAGATTACTGCAACCATCCTTTAGTTAAAGATACCAGTGAACTCTCCACACCCGATATACTTACTAATGTAGAGAATGAAACGACAGGCTGCTGCCCAGAGAACACAATATCATTTAAGCCAAGGAATATATACGGAAGATTGTGTGACAATCCAGGACAACATGTTTTATCTTTTGACAAAGATGATGACACAGTAAGTAATAGCTGTGACAAATATTTCTATAAAAATATAAATGCCTACCCTAACCGTCTACGAGGCAGCAGTGAAACTACACCTAATAATAAAAATAACAGAAAGCAAAGAAAAGAACGAAATACTAGTTTTGAAAGGGACACAACAAATAATTCCTATTACGTTTACAGTGAGTCTGCAAAAGATATCGATAAGAAGAATTTCATCATATATGTTAAAAACGACACAACATTTTTAGCTATAAAAAATCTCAATCATTTTACCAAGTTCACTATTTTTATAAGGGCTTGCAGAGAGACTTATGGAAATGATCGTAGCGATCATGATCCAAAGTGTAGTGAACCTGAAATAGTGACAATAAGGACAATGGAAAAGAGAGATGCTGATCAGATCGACAGCAGTCTGGTTAGTCATGAAGTAATTGAAGAGGGAGGATTTGAAGTTCTGCTATTGAGATGGATCGAACCAGAGAATCCAAATGGACTGTTGCTGGCTTTTGAAATACAACACAAAAGAACAGATTTAAAAAATGCAAAGCCTACAATCGAATGTATAACATATTTGGATTACATAAAGAATAGCAAAGGTTTTACTCTTAAAAATTTACATCCAGGGGAATATGCTTTCCAAATACGAGCAATTTCTCTGGCAGGAACTGGTAGCTTCACAAAGGAGTTTGAATTTGTAATAGCCGAGATTAGAAGTAAATCATATTATTTTTACATACTGCTGGTGTTCATATTTTGTATCGGTATATTCATAGGAAGTGCACTAACTATCATTCTCAAGAGAAGGAGACAGTTAGATTTGGATACACTTTTAGCTTCTATCAATAACGAGCAAACATCGTATCCACTGTGTACAGAAGACTCTTGGGAAGTTCCAAGAGAACAAGTTCATTTGATCCGAGAACTCGGGAAAGGTACATTCGGTCAGGTTTATGAAGGCTTCTTAAGATCTGTTAATATTCCTTGCGCTGTAAAAGTAGTCACCGATTCAGCAGTTGCAAATTCCGCTGCTTTCCACAATGAAGTAACAGTGATGAAGAGAGCAGCTGGGGTACATCACGTGGTGCAGCTGCTGGGAGTCGTATCTAGAGGAGAACCTCCATTGATCATCATGGAGTTGTTGACCTTGGGAGATCTCAAGACGTATCTGCGGTCCGTCAGGGAAACACCTCCACCCGAACAGACTGTCTTGCAAATGACAGCTCAAATTGCTGATGCCATGTTTTTCTTGGAAGCCAACAAATTCGTCCATCGTGACTTGGCAGCGAGGAACTGTTTGGTGCACAAAGATCTTACAGTGAAAGTGGGGGACTTTGGTTTGACCAGAGACGTGTATACGACGGACTATTACAGGACAGGAGAGGGAGGAATGCTGCCGGTAAGATGGATGGCTCCTGAGAGTCTCAGAGATGGAGTGTTCACCAGTCGTTCAGATGTCTGGAGCTACGGTGTTGTGGTGTGGGAGATAGTAACCCTTGGAGAATTACCTTACCCGGGTCTGACCAACGAGCAAGTGAGACAACATGTCATCTCAGGTAAACATCTCCCCACTCCTGTCTTCTGCCCTGAGCCTCTCAGACAGATCATGGTGTGGTGCTGCCAGAAAGAACCTTCTTGTAGGCCCACCTTCTACAGACTCGTCTCTCAGTTGGATAAGTATACTAATGAAGTTTTCAAATGTGTATCTTACTACTATACTACTAAAAACTCAAACACAGACCCTCAACCACAAGTTACTTTGTATTTTTAATGTTTGATTTTAAAACTTGACATTCATCAGATGTCTTAACATTTTATTACTAATTAGTTATTAAATTTGTGAATCAAACTTTGGATAGTTATTTCTTATTTCAGCCTTCTTCATATTAAAGCTTTCATTTTAGCGAATTTCCCATATAGGGAATAAGCTATTACCGTAGTACTCATGGTAAGACCTGGACCCGAGACCGATCTAATTTTTCATTTTGAGGTCCCTAGAGGCCAAAAACACCATCCGTTCAAATTCATATATGTATATATATATATGTGTCCGTTAGCGCGATAACTCAAGCAAAAATGATCCGATTTTGATGAAATTTGGTACAAACGTGTAAACCTACATTTATTCAAACGAGTTCGCGATCCAGCATAATCGGACCATCGGAACGGGGGATTATGGGGGGTTTTATGGGGTAAAAATGGGTTTTTCCCATTTTTGAACCTAAAAACAAAAAATTTTGCGATTTCTTTCTAAAACGTTTTGTAGAGCTTAAAAAAATAAATAATTTAGTATATTGAAGCGCTGTTGTATGCCTAACGGTCACAGAGAAAATTCAAAAATAGTGTAATTAAAAATTCCCATGTTATTCTTATGGAGAAAATGAAAATTGTTGTAGTTTACTTGTTTATGGGTATATATTGATACAATTTGGCAAATTTATTTATTTCATCCTATACTATTGATGTATGGTCAAAAAACACTTTTTACCTTCCCCGTAGCAGCAAACCTAAGCACTTGTTAAATCTAATGTTATTTAAATAGGGAATAATATGTCTTATTTATGGAAATATCTATTTATCTATCTATCTATATATTAATAGGCAAGCATATTTCTTTAAAACCTTTTTTCTCAGCTCGTGTGCATCGTAGGGAAAATCTACGCATACCGTTAGAAAGCTATTTTCCTGTAGGTGTGCAGAATCCCTTTAGAAATTTAAATAGGCTCAAAGATAAGCACAAAAAATGAGTTTAAAGATTTGAAAAAATTAACATGGATCTTATGCGTTGCCATGCTGGTGACGAAATAACAACGAAATATAAACAGGAAATCAAAACAAATGGAAGAAACTCCAATCACATGTTTTATTTACAGTGTGGGGTGAAAATAGAGAAGTGAGTACATTACATTATTTTGGTCGAGTTTCGACCACTGGACGACCTCTCGTACTTATTTAATACGCAAGCAGATTTTTTGTGACAATTACTCCTCCGAAACTACTGAACCAATTGACATGTTTTTGGTGTCATTGGAAAGAGCGTAACGTGAAGTTGTGCAGGAAACTTTCTTTTTAGGGAAATAATTAGAGAGTGAGGCCCTGGGGCCCTTTAAAGTTTTGTATTTCTCCATAAGATTAACATGGGAAACAAACATTGTTATGAAACTCCAGCTGTTGTCAGAAATTAAATATTAATAATTGGTCTCCATGGAAGCATGAGAAAATTCACAATGTTTACATTTGCTTTGACATTTAAATGTAAACAACCAGAACTGTCAATAATGCCTATTTCGCAATTTTAGACAGCTGATACAAATACCCCCGCCGCAGCAAACCTGCAGACTAAACGAATTTCAACTTGTCTGATTACATTTTTACTAAAACTAGTGTACATGTTGCTCGAAATCGAGCAATTGCACAGTACAGGAGTACAGGTGTACAGGAGTTATTTAAAAACAAATTTTGGTTGAAAACTTATAACAGTCATAATTTCCAATGATTTTAAAAGAGCAAAAGAGCCAACTAAAAGATTATAAACCAATGGAAATACTTACAATTTACATAACAGTCCTTTTCCATTTTAAAGGGTGAATTTTTAACAATCAAACTGCCCATGGACGGGAAAAGGTAAGCTTACAATTTAAGGTCAACGTAAAAAAGCTGTCAGCTTTTATTAAGTACCGTACCTAAGTTATTTAGCCAATTTGTAGACAATAAGGTGTAGGCTACTTTAAACTCTACAGGACAGAGTTAGGCAAAACCTGCCAGAAATCTGAAATGGTGTTATTTATCATAGGCTTAGTCATATGCCAAATCCTTAAAATAAAAATTTAATAACTAACTTATATAATTAAACACAAGCCAACATCCAAAACTATACACATTTTTAATACAACTTCGATAATTTACACATTGACTGTTTACAATATATCTTTTTCTTCTCACTATTAATTTTTGCTTCGCAACGGGAAAAATTTGTTTCATAATTATTGAAATAGATTTATAATAATCTATCATAAAGTTCAAGATTAAATAAACCTACCACATAGTTGTTTTATTTTTTTATCAGCTGTCTAAAATTGCGAAATAGGCATTATTGACAGTTCTGGTTGTTTACATTTAAATGTCAAAGCAAATGTAAACATTGTGAATTTTCTCATGCTTCCATGGAGACCAATTATTAATATTTAATTTCTGACAACAGCTGGAGTTTCATAACAATGTTTGTTTCCCATGTTAATCTTATGGAGAAATACGAAACTATAAAGGGCCCCAGGGCCTCACTCTCTAATTATTTCCCTAAAAAGAAAGTTTCCTGCACAACTTCACGTTACGCTCTTTCCAATGACACCAAAAACATGTCAATCGGTTCAGTAGTTTCGGAGGAGTAATTGTCACAAAATTCCTGCTTGCGTATTAAATAAGTACTAGTGTACATGTTGCTCGAATTCGAGCAATTGTAAAGTATTACAGGATTTGCAAACCAATAACAATCATACTTAGCTATCGACATTTCAACAAAAACACACCTACCTTCCCTGTAGCAGCAAACCTAAGTACTCATATTAAAATTAACTTAATGTTATTTAAATAGGGAAAAAAATTACCATTTTCAGGGAATATCTTTGTATTAATTAAGCCAGGTAAATGGAAATTCGCTTAGTCTGAAGGTTTCCTGCGGATACACAATTTTAATAACAGCAAAGATTGAAGAATCTGAATTATTACTTATATCCATGAATTTATCTAACAATTATTTCCTGTAAAATATTATTACAGCAGTTCAAAAATATTGAAACAAACTCGATCAACAAATGATGTAACTGAAAGAATTCCATACTAATGACATTAACATAGTTCGACAGATCAATTTAATCAATGTTAAATGTTTACATTCGGGCATAGACAAAAATGATTCGGGCGAGTGACATATTTTATTAATGTTTATGATCCCTACTGTTCCTGTTCTAATAATCATGCAGTATTTAATATGTTTGAACCAGCTGTGTGGAATTGTGAAATAAAAATTAGTTTGACAGTTAGTTCTGCTTGTTTACATTTTAAAATTTTGTGGGTTTGTTCTTTGTTACCAAGGATACCATCAATAAATATTTCACTCTTTATTTCTGACAACAGCTGGAGTTCCATAACAAATTTTGTTTCCCATGTTAATCTTATGGATAAATACGAAACTTTAAAGGGCCCCAGGGCCTCACTCTCTAATTATTTCCTTAAAAAGAAAGTTTCCTGCACAACTTCACGTTACGCTCTTTCCAATGACACCAAAAACATGTCAATTGGTTCAGTAGTTTCGGAGGAGTAATTGTCACAAAAAATCTGCTTGCGTATTAAATAAGTACTAGTGGTCGTCCTGTGGTCGAAACTCGACCAAAAATAATTAATGTACAGACTACTCTATTTTCTCCCCACACTGTAAATAAAACATGTGATTGGGATTTCTTCCATTTGTTTTGATTTTCTGTTTACATTTTGTTGTTATTTCGTCACCATCATGGCAACCCAGTTGGTCCATGTTAATTTTTTGAAGTTTTCAAAATCGTTTTTTGTACTTATTTTTTAGCCTATTTTAATTTATAAAGGGATTCTGCACATCTACAGGCAAATATCTTTCTAACAGTATAAGTAGATTTTCCCTGCGATGCACACGAGCTGAGAAAAAAGGTTTTAAAGAAACATGCCTGCCTATTAATATATAGATAGATAGATAAATAGATATTTCCATAAATAAGACATATTATTCCCTATTTAAATAACATTAGATTTAACAAGTGCTTAAGTTTGCTGCTACGGGGAAGGTAAAAAGTGTTTTTTGACCATACATCTATAGTATAGGATGAAATAAATAAATTTGCCAAATTGTATCAATATATACCCATAAACAAGTAAACTACAACAATTTTCATTTTCTCCATAAGAATAACATGGGAATTTTTAATTACACTATTTTTGAATTTTCTCTGTGACCGTTAGGCATACAACAGCGCTTCAATATACTAAATTATTTCTTTTTTTAAGCTCTACAAAACGTTTTAGAAAGAAATCGCAAAATTTTTGTTTTTAGGTTCAAAAATGGGAAAAACCCATTTTTACCCCATAAAACCCCCCATAATCCCCCGTTCCCATGGTCCGATTATGCTGGATCGCGAACTCGTTCGAATAAATGTAGGTTTACACGTTTGTACCAAATTTCATCAAAATCGGATCATTTTTGCTCGAGTTATCGCGCTAACGGACACATATATATATATATATATATAAATATATATGAATTTGAACGGATGGTGTTTTTGGCCTCTAGGGACCTCAAAATGAAAAATTAGATCGGTCTCGGGTCCAGGTCTTACCATGAGTACTACGGTAATAGCTTATTCCCTATATGGGAAATTCGCTAAAATAAAACAACTATGTGGTAGGTTTATTTAATCTTGAACTTTATGATAGATTATTATAAATCTATTTCAATAATTATGAAACAAATTTTTCCCGTTGCGAAGCAAAAATTAATAGTGAGAAGAAAAAGATATATTGTAAACAGTCAATGTGTAAATTATCGAAGTTGTATTAAAAATGTGTATAGTTTTGGATGTTGGTTTGTGTTTAATGATATAAGTTAGTTATTAAATTTTTATTTTAAGGATTTGGCATATGACTAAGCCTATGGTAAATAACACCATTTCAGATTTCTGCCAGTTTTTGCCTAACTCTGTCCTGTAGAGTTTAAAGTAGCCTACACCTTATTGTCTACAAATTGGCTAAATAACTTAGGTACGGTACTTAATAAAAGCTGACAGCTTTTTTACGTTGACCTTAAATTGTAAGCTTACCTTTTCCCGTCCATGGGCAGTTTGATTGTTAAAAATTCACCCTTTAAAATGGAAAAGGACTGTTATGTAAATTGTAAGTATTTCCATTGGTTTATAATCTTTTAGTTGGCTCTTTTGCTCTTTTAAAATCATTGGAAATTATGACTGTTATAAGTTTTCAACCAAAATTTGTTTTTAAATAACTCCTGTACACCTGTACTCCTGTACTGTGCAATTGCTCGATTTCGAGCAACATGTACACTAGTTTTAGTAAAAATGTAATCAGACAAGTTGAAATTCGCTTAGTCTGCAGGTTTGCTGCGGCGGGGGTATTTTAAATTTTGTTTGTGATTACAATCATCTTATTTAAAACAAATGTTAAGTAAAAAAAAAAACACTACAATAAATAATACAAATCAGTTAAAATATTTTCTATTTTTATTTTCTAATAAGAAAAAAAACATAATTAATTTAAGGTACAGTGCAAACATGTTATGGACACACATTGTGAGATGTTTATACAACACAAGATGAGATTTCTCATAGTTCCAGGATTCTTTCCAGTTATCATTATACCTGTGCCATACTTGTAGAATGTTCAATGTGATATTATCTCTTTTTCTGCAAGAGCATTTTATGGTTGATGTTCCTTAGTCCAGTTTTAAAATTTGTTTAACGCATAAACCAATTCACTTGCATTCCCAAAAGGCAATCTATCTTACAATCCAAATTTTAGGACTCAAAAATTATATGCTCATGCTGTAATTTATTTATTTTTTTATATTTTATTGTAAATCTATAATATTAAAACGAAACAGTGTTTTTTTATTTCACGATTCTGAATCAACCACTCGACGGATTTTCGTGATTTTTGTGTTGAAAGAAAGATAATTTTGAGAACTAGGGAATGTCGAAGCCATAATTTTAGTTTAGGGTCCCAGTTTTTTAGAAATTAGGTTTTAATTTTTATAAAGTCTAGCAGCCGACGCTAAGATTCTAAACTAGCTTTTGGCATAAAATAATTTGCTTTACATAACAGCTGTAAACATTCAGCTTTTGTGTCACAAATTCAGCATTTGGATAAAAATGTAAAGACATACTTAGGGTTGACTTATTTATACTATGTGTAATGCTAATCATTGATACGTTCAATTCTTCTGTAAGAGGATGACAGATTAATTAAATATACATAGTAAAATACTAGGATGTTCAAATTATTTTTTCAAGCAATCTTTGTAATCTTCGATTTGTTTTAGAGCAATATAATTTGTTTTAACTAACAGCTGGTTAAATATAAACTATGGAACTATGAGGTTATTTTATTTACTCTTATTTTGTCATTGATTATAGGAAATAAGTAAGATTAGTAGAGACTAGCTGTGTGCCCGTTATACGCACGGGGATCTTATAGTAGTCAGTTGAAACCTTCTTATATTCAGATTAAGAACAGCAGTTAGTTTGCATATTCGCAGATATGCTGGCAAAACTATTATATATAAACCTTCGCAAATACAGTATCTGACAGTTCAAGCCAAAATAAATGCTTCGCAATTAAATGTCACCCGGATCGTTATGGTCCATATGTCCAATGATTAAACTAAAAATGTTTTATAGATCCATGAAGCGTAGCCCTAAAGTAGGCCTATAATTGAAAGTTACTTTCCACATCAGTTAACTTAAACGTATTTAAAGTACTACCTCAACCTCACCATTTAACACTTTATTCCGGTTGACATTTTCAGTATCAAAGGTGCTCTTGTCCATTCCGTGAAACACTGAGAAATAAGGGCATTAATGCGTTACCAACATACATACACACAACAATCCAAAAAAGGCCACAAACTATTGATACATAAACAGTATAAAGGCGTAAACAATTCATGATGGTTTGCCCAACAAATGTTTTACTCAAATAGGTTATCATTTTCTTAGCATACCGGGTAAGAACCTACCTAAGAACTATAGTACATCCGACCAATTAAATACATTAATATCTAGTCCCGAGGATATTGATCTCTTGCTTTTGGATTTTCTCGTAAAAAGTTATAGCGTAAACTTATCGGTGTCAGTTTGAAAAAAAAAAACAACCTTACCCAAACAACTTTTTGTTATTTAATAGATTACGCATTCTCTAAACAATGATTAGTATATCTGTTAACATTAGAAGGAAATGTGACGAAAATCACACAATGTTGGGGTTTTGGTCATTTGTAATTATATTTCTTAAGTAGGTAGGCCATGTATTCTATGGAAAAGTACCGGTATCAAGGATCGTCGTCAAAAAGGTTGTTATGAATAAATATGTAGGCTTACGTACCCAAGATATGAGCTATGGGCCTATTGGCTGTATGGTCCAGCGATTGCATCACACGGTGAGTAGAAACAGAAAGTGACACATTGGAAAAGCGAGTTTAGCACTTCCTCTGTTAAACCTCTGTTACAATCACCCACTGCAGTTGTGATTTTTTACTTTACACTTTACACAACCGCCATTGAAGCGCCGTCAATGAGTGGAAACCTTTTTTGTAAGCTATTGGCGACGATCATTTCAGTGTCCAGCCCTATACAACACTGATTCAAGGTCTTCTTTCTGGTTGTCAAAACTCAAGAAACATTTTATACTCAAAGAATTTCTGGTTCCGATTTGGACGATGTCTAGTTATTTAATTTCATTTACGGTTACACTATTAGACTATATTATTGCACTTGCGATTGATTAAATCCGTTATGTAAGAAAAACGTTTTTAATCTCACTTGGTTGGGATTTGCTTTCAAAACGCGATTCGAAATGGTTGCGGTATTTGTAAACAACATTTGTAAACATATCATTGACAGCTAGAAAAAATAATCTTGATCCGAACAGCTGTTCGTTATTTCATAGACGATTATGTGATAAAAATTGAAAGAAAATTTGACAAAAATCGCACAAAACTGCATTTTTGAACGTCCGTAATTTTATTTACAAAGTAGTGAGGCTATATTTAAATCACTAAAGACACTCTCGCCAATCCAGTGAATACATTAAAATGACTTGGATCTTGATAGGTACTCTGGTTTTCACGGAGAAGATTGCATAAAATGCTATCTTGAGTGTTACAGACAAAGGGAAAGACAGACAGACAGACAGACAGACAGAAATAGAGATAAGACTCGTTTCTGCTTCTTTAATGTATAAAACGTAAAAATAACCTAAAAGTATATAATTCTGAGCAAAGTACAGACAAAACTCTAATTTTATTTATATAGATAATTAGACCACAGTTTAAAATAGTTTAGACCAAAATTAATTAAACCACAGTACAAATCGAGGCTCTGTACACGAGTCTTAATAAAAAAGGATAAATGCAAATTATTTTACTGCTCCACTTTTCAAGGAAAGATTAGAAAAATAACAATGTTTACATGTTTTAATTCTTCATGGTAGCATTTTGTTTACAATTAATGTTTGTCTGCTTTAACTTTGTTTGGATTAGGCCCGGAAATATTGATGTCATAAAAAGAAGATCAAGAATAATCAGGAATCACGATTTTAAATTACCACCACAACCTAAGCCGGGTTTTATACAAAGATAAACAGATGGATGACATAGATTGAACACAACGTCAACATTGACCTAGGATACTGCAATTAGACAAACCATCCTTTTATGAAATCGTGTTCAGTTGTGGTTACGTTTGGGGGTGCCTATATCAGCGCCCCCAAACTTGAAAATAATTCTTTTATTTCAATTATGAATATATTGTAGTTTAAATTAACTAATATGGGAAATTACGATGTATATTTATTCAATGAGGGTGGGTAATTGTCAAGGATAGAACCATAGACTAAACAACACAACAAACTAAACAAACACTTGGGGGAGTATGTTTTATCTATGATAGAACTGATAACGGCATGGATAATAAACATTGACAATTACGTCATTAGCTTTACTAGCGTGTTTACTTTTTATATTCCTGCTACATGTGACCAGTTCTTTTTTTCAAATGAATGTTATTTGAACCAAACAGCTGTTCCAAAACAAACTGTTATTGTTTTTACTTTTCTTTGTTTACACTTATTTATTTAGCAACTAATGCAGTGAAATAATTGATATAAAGGATAGGTGTGACGATTAGTTTTGATGTTAGGACACCAAACTTAAATTATGTGTACTGTGAATTTTATTGGATATTATCGTTTTATTTTAGGTCGTTTCTATTCAGACCTACTGGCAATTGTGTGTAGTAGTTGTATTGTGGTGATAATAATTATGAAAGAGGCAGGTATGCGATGGAAGGTGGTATCGTTGACTAGGTCTATACACTTCTCAATTGACTATTACCATAGATAAAACATACTCCTCAAGCTATTACTCTCTCTACTGTAGGCTACTTATAATCAGTGTGCGTCTGTGCGAATCGGCTGCAAATCTCACTTCAACGCTTTTCACATCGTAAAAATTGCAGAATTGCTGTTTTATTGTAAAATTATCAGATTTAAAATGCATATCGTATAGGCCTATGATGGAATAAAAACATATTTGGTCACACAACATTTGTTTAGAAGATGATTTTTCACATTAAAACTGCAAAAAACTTTGTCTTTAGCCTATATGTGTAAACTAGCTGATCTGATTTGTACACGGTTTTAACTGACTACTGAATTCCCGTACGTAGGACGGGCTAACACCTCGTAATAAATAATTGTTCAACACTTAAATATTGCTTGGAGGTGTAAGATAAAATGTGATACAGTGTCAGTTAACTAACAAATAAAGAGTTAGGGGTTTGTAACAAAAACAAGATTAGGATAACTTTGTTTATAAATTTTAATTTCATTTTAATTATGTTTTTGGCTTTCTTTTTCTCTTGGTTTTTGTATTTGATTCCCCTTCTTCAATTATTTGTTTGTCTTGGCCAATCTGAAACATTAGGAAAGCAACAAAAATTGAAAATGTTTTTTTTCAAACAAAACATCATACATTGTTTTAGGCTTGAAATTAACTGATCGTGATACACTATCATATATAGCTGCTATCCTGACACATTATGAGTTATTAGAGTAAGAAAACAAGGGTTACCAGCCGATTTTAATTTTTTGCAATCTAAAAAAATAGTTGTTTGATAGCTAAACAAGAATGGAGTGCTATAATATAATTGTGAAAATGGATACTATGGGGAAGTAGTTATAATCAAAATATTCACACAATATACCTTAATCTAGGAAAACATTTTTGGTATTAGGGTCCCTAGATGCCAAAACATGGTTTGTTCAATTCACTAGATAAAGTATTTATGTGTCATAAGGAACCACAAATGTTATAAAATCGCCAATTTTGTAGAAATTTGGGCCATACCTGAGAACAAAACCTACAAAAGTATTACGATTTTACAAAACAGTCTGAACTGATTACATGGACAGATCCGACAGATGGTTTGTAGAAGTGAAGTTTGTATTTCAAAAATTTTTTTTTTAACGTTTTCACTCAAATTTTACAAAATTGTACAAGCTTACACAGTTTACATTACGTTCTAAAAAGGACGTAATGTATAATACATTGGCAATACAGAACTTATGGAGATGACCGCGGGACATCTCCCACAGTCGTATAGTTATCATCGTTTTCCGGGATTACGGTAAAATCCTTAACATCTCAGGAGGTTGTTTAAGCATCATCATCACAGCAAAATTCTGTACCACAGTCAAGTAGACATAATTATCATTGTCTTCTGTGATTGCGGCCAAATATTAGACATCCCCCAGGGGTCATATAAACATCACCATGCAGGTATTGTCGTCATCCCCACTCGCAGCAAAAGCGTGATTTTTTTACTTTTTGATCCTAGCACACGTGCCCTGTGATCGCAATCGTAAAATCTCGGCTAAATTTTCCGATTTGGTACTTTTAGCTCATCATCTCTTTCTAATTGTAATCACATTTTCATGATAAAAAGATGATCAGTTTACTAGAAAAGTCCCAATGCGATATTGAACAATATAACTCTTGAATTCAACTACAACAAACAAGTTTATCCATTACACTATCACAGTCTCATTGCAATCAGCTAAATGTTCTATGACTTGACCTAACCCATTGGTGCTGAGATACTTGTGTTGCCTGTTATTTGAATAACTGTAGTTTGTCAAATCTATCCAGCGAGAGCAAGTGTCACCGTATGCTTTCAGTAGCACTCCTCTCTTTGTGTCAGTGGCATGGTAGCTCAGTTGGCTAAGACGTTGAATTGACAAGTGTAGCAATGAAGTCTTTCTTCATGTGCGGGTTCTAATATCGTACATGTGCAATCCATACTATTACACATGTACGTGTAGATGTACACATGTAGATATATTACTAATGAATCAGATTAGTCCATTTATATATAGTTAAATCTCCATTCACTTTATTTAGTTTATTTATTAATTAGATGCATTGATAACATAAAAGCTGGCTGTGATATTCAGTTGAGGTTATTATTGTGCACATTGACGAGGTTGTTAGGTTCATTTGAATATAGTTCCAGCAGCGTCAGGAAATGTGTGTGATTTAGCGGTGATTGGCGGAAGATATACTGGGCCCAGGTATCTTAACTAACACTCATTTCGCCACAAGTAAGCAATACAAGTTTTATGAGCAAATAGTTTTCTGTTTCTTTATGATTTCCTTTATTTACTAGGCATGCGGCCTCAGGTCCGCCAATTGAGCGGAGTAAGCAAGCTTTGATATAAACAAATAACTTTAATTTGTTTTCATGATTCAAATTGAATACATGATGACGTCACCATAGCAACAATCCAATTGAATTCTCGTGTTTGGTTGGAATAGTTGAAGGAAATATGAATCCAGTCAGCTGTTTCTATTAGGTCATTGATTTTTACTTGTTTATATGAGTAATAGTAAAACTGTGTGTTTGTAATACTGTAGCATAAAGATAAGTATTATTTTGTCAATATCCTAATGTTTGTTTAGCATCCATTTATGTAATAGGCCTATAGGCTTCCTTCACATTTTCTCCAACTAAAACATTTAGCCAATTAGTAAACTTTGCTCAGCGAACAGAATGACAGAAGAAGGTGACTATATATAGCAATACCATAGTCAATGGTCACCACAGGAAATAAGGCGCGGCTAATTTCACGAGCTGATGATACCCTGAAAAGATGGTGGTTGCCGCGACGCTAGTGGCATTGAATTGGTGACGTTTGCGCTAGCTCCGCCCCGTTGCCAAAATAGGCCTACTGTACACAATAAATAGATTAGATTTTAAAGACGGCACTGGATAGAGAATTGATGAATTAAACAAGAATATATTTATTCCTCATGCTAAATTACAGCATGATTAAGTAAAATACTGTATAACAAAATTATTAAAATCAAATTATTATAAAAGACGTTTTTATATTAGGCTATGGCAATTTAATTTGAGAACCTGCACTGTGTTGATGTAAAGCCTATTTATTGGGTTGTACTAAATTTTCAACCTGACATAAAAATGCCAACATGCTGTTCTGTTAGCTGTAATAATTCATCTTATAGTATTACGGAAAAAAATAGGAATATTATATCACGCTTATTTTATAACTGGACTCCCGTACAGGCTAAGCGGTCTAGGCTCTACTTTTTGTAATTATTACCTTATTATCTTCATCTTTTACCCAAAAGGGATTGATGGTGTCAGACTTTCAAATAAAAAATATATACATTTAAACAAACAGACATAAATACTGAACATATATTTACAACATTGGCATGTGAAATTGTAACTGTGTCTGTATATCTGCACAGAGAAAATTATTTCCACACTTATAAGTTATAAATTGGACAACACAAGTTAACAAGTTTAGTTAAATATTTAATTATAATAAATAGCTATAACTGAACTTCTGTATAGGCCTAGCAGTCTAGGCATTAGGCCTACGCATCGTAATCGTAACTGTACAAGCCTAACCAATTATTTACACGCCTTAGTTAAAGTGGACTTCTATAATATCCTAGGTAATTATTTATTTATTGTAGTCGCAACTGGACTTTAGTGTGCAAGCCCAGCAAATCACTGTATTTATTTAGGATAGGCTACCGTTAATAATATTTGAAAATACTGAATTCCTGCTTCGGAAATACAGTTTCTATAGTTTTCAATTTGAATACTCTCTTTTACTGTTTATAAACTAAGTACCTGGAGACCCCCCACTCTGCGATGCCAGCCTTTACTACTTCCTTCACCATTTCCTACGTCATTGTTTCCTTCCCTTCTCATAGCATTTAAGTATTACAGATACATTAATCTAACTGCCAAAAACGGTTCCCACACTCTGCGATGCTAAACTTTACTACTTCCTACGTCATGGACATGTTGTCATCTCTTTCCATTGCATTTTAGTATTTTAAATACATTAATCTAATTGCCAACAACATTTCCCACACTCCGCACTGCTAGCATTTACTAATTCTTTAACCATTTCCTATATCTTGGACATCCCATCTCATAGCATTTCAGTATTTCAATTTCAGATACAGAAATCGAACTGTTACAATTGGTTTCCAGTTCCCAGACTCCACAGTGCTCGCATTTACTACTTCCTTCACCTCTTCCTACGTCGTGGACCTGTTTCCCTCTCTTCCCATTGCATTTTAAGATTGCAGATACCTTAATCTAATCCTTATAAACAGTTCCCACACTCCGGACTGCTCGCCTTGACTACTTCCTTTACCACTTCCTACGCCACGGGCCTGTTTTCCTCCCTTCCCATAGCATTTTAGGATAACAGATACCTTAATCTAATCGTCATAAACATTTCCCACACTCCGAACTACTCACCTTTACTACTTCCTTCACCATTTCCTACGTCGCGGACCTGTTTCCCTCTCTTCCCATAGCATTTTAGGATTGTAGATACCTTAATCTAATCGTCATAAACAGTTCCCACACTCCGGACCGTTTACATAAGGTCCGATCTCAAAGAGCTTCGCTCGCTCCGCTCGCTCCGCTCAATTAATAGAGCAATGGTGCAGTCTCAAACCAATTTAACATTTTATTGGCAATAATAGTTTGGTGATGGCTATTGAATTTCCATTTCTGACTTATGTATTTTAAATATGGGTTTTTGGCAGGGAGTGAACAATCGGGATGAAAAATCATACAACTGTTTATAGATACACTACAGCCACAAGCATTGTTGTAAATATATAATGAGCAGTCTTTTATCATATTCATTTTAAATAATCTTACTCGTATTTAGTTGTATTTATCTGCTTATTACTGCTATTTTTTAAAACTTTAATCAGCTATATCATGTCACTCAAGATGTGTATTGGCCCATCTAAATAATTATACCTAGGTCTGGGCCATTTGATTCTTTTGGCTTAAAAATAGTCTGCTGTCAGAACTGAATGAAGCCTAGAAGACTAAAGATTGACATGTGCTGATATTAACCATGTGACTGAAAGGAATCTCATTCTGTGGTAATCCAATTGTATTTCTCTTAATGCATTTCCTTGGTTTTTAGAGAGGGCACTGTGAGAATCTTATTTTTGTGTATTTTTTATGTGAAAATAAATAAATTATTTAATGTGGAAAGCGAAAAGGGACCTTTTGTCGGCGATGCAAAATTTTCAGTACAGCCGATATAAGTAATTAGGGTCAAAAATATTTAAATTCAATTTTTATCCATTGTTATACCTCATTTAATATAGAACAGGACAGTATCGGTTAAAATATAGAATTGAAGATGTAAACAGTGGAAATAAATCCTTTTGTTAGCCTCTGCACGGTCTGAGAAAAGGTACCTCTTGTCGCTCAATGTTATTTTGCCATAACGACAAGAGGTCCCATTTCTAATATTCACTTTATAAACAGACTTAAGTCCAAAAAAAGAATTGTACTGCATTCTAGAGAAAATTTAGTGCGTCGATTGCTTAAGTAGACATAAGAATATTATTTCTCTATTTGATTTTTTCGTCAGCGATGGCTTACTCCAATATTTTATTTTCTAGGATCCCAACTAGTTATGTATGGTTAGATTGTATGTTCTGTCGTACTGTACCTGCTGCCACTCTCTCCTCAACTCTTGCAGCATGTTGGGTGTGAGCAGTCCTTGTGCTATGAGTCGCTCAGTCAGTCTGCCTCGGCCAACTGGTTCACTGCCACTCTGCTTGTCTCCTGCAAACATTCAACTATTATTACAAACCACACAATAACTGTACGGTACGCTACAAGTACAAATGTCCAATAGTTTAATTTTGTTCTGAAATTATCATTCTTTAAGACAACTCGTTCTTTGACTCAGCTATGTGAAATTGGAAAAATCAGACCATTTGAAGTTTCAGTCACAGAAATTTGCAAACAGTTATTTCTAGTGTTTTGATATGGTTTAGACCTACAGTTTTTGAACAGCCAATCAACTGATTGAAATTAAGTAAAATTATTTTAATCCCTTAATTTGAGAGAATAATTATTTGAGGGGAAACAAACTTTAGTCTATCATGGAATATACCTCTGAGATATGCCTGTTGGTTCTGCTTCATTGTGAATTGCTCCTGAGTGTCCGTGCCTGTGCCAGAAGACACTCCTGTTTCACTGTTGCGTAATAGTTTGGTCAGTTGCACCACACCTCGTTGTATTACGTCATCCAACTCTGACTGCATGTCTCGAACCAACTTGGCGTCAGGGAACAGGTCCATAAAACGGTAACTGCAATGTTGGCAAGACTTTAGAAATAATGGTTGGGTAGCTAATGTTATTGAATGTTTATTAGAGGTCTGCAGGTTCTTGAAATGTTGTGTCGAGCCAGGCCACCAGTTGGCCTGAGACATTGGTTTGGGCTATAATTTTTTCTATATATATAAAATCCAATGTATGTTTGTTTGTCCTTTGTGGACTACAAAACCGCTGGACAGATTGTAATGAAACTTTCAGGCATTATTAAGCATTATTCAAGGATGGTGTGTATGAAGTTTGGTGCAGATCCTTCAAAAGGGCTCCGCCTCGGTGGCTCTGGAGTTTACCATGTTAACCTTATGAGTACTCATATTTAAATGGAATTAAAGTATCTTAACAGCTGGTTCAACTAAACAATTTGATTCTGTGATGTTCAATAGCATTAAAAAGTTAATAGGCTTACCAACAGGGTGCAGCACTACTATTTTTTTTAATTTATAACAACAGCTAATTTGCAACCAAAAGGTGAGTGAGCGTAGCGAACAAACTTCCTTTTCAAACCACAAAAAATAATACGGTTTGAAAACCATTACAGTAGAATCCCGCAAACTCGGCACTCGATAACCCGGCAGTCTGGAAAACTCGGCCATCACCTGGCTAAGATAATTAGTGATTTTTTGTGTCCGAGTTAAACATTGACTTAAGCCAGGTCAAGTCATATAATTCACAACTCTGTACCAAGGATTTGTTGTACTATATCTGATCACTTAATACTGGCTTTTTATATAAAAAAGGCGGTTAAAAAGCTTTAAAATTGTATTGATCTTATTTTTAACCCTAGTTCCCAATAATCCGGCATTTCACAAACTTGGCACCCTTCCAATCCACATTACGCCGAGTTTGCGGGACTCTACTGTACTGTATTAATGAGTGCCAACCATCGATGTATAATAACTCTACTGGATAGCGCGCTAGGTGGTGGAAAAACGGTCCGTGCCCGCCAATCGAATTGACGGGATACCGAGGCGGACGGGCCGATTGAACCTCTCTGTTTTACACAAACATACATTCACTCAACCTGCTCTGCTACACTTATTTGTTAACATAAAAATTTCAAATTGATATATTATTTTTCTGGAAAAACCAGTGCTCATTACTGTGTAGCTAGTTTTTACATTAACATATTTTTATAATTTATTTAGGCAAAATAAAACAGATGATTGTTTTTTAACACCACTAAAAACATGAAAAATGTAGTAAGCGAGGAACTTTTTTATTTTTTGGGCAGGAAAAAAATTCCTGCGGCAAAGTTTTAGATCAAAGTATGAATTTTATTTTTTATTTTAAGCTTTTTTTGATACGGAGCCTGCTTGTATCATTTTTAAGCGATTAAAAATAGGCATAAAATCGCTTGGCGCGGCATTGGCGCTAGGAGCTCGGCCGGCTCAGCACCAGTTTACGGAATATAGAAACTGAGTTTCTAGCATTTAATTATCATTATATTACATCAAATATGTCATTACATTACGAAGAATGGTAACTTAATTTACAGGCGTATGTTTGTGCATTTTAATGCTTACCGGTAGTCTATAGTTAACAAAATTCTTTGAATCAAAGAATAAATGTTGGATTTGACAGTAGTATTTAATACCTAAGAAAATATGTTTTTATTATACTTCAGTGAGAATAACGAATATATTTGAGATATTGACATTAAATATTATACACTCATTTTATTTAGCAGCATAATATGTTTTTCAAACACGCTAATCAGTATGACAAAGAAACATATTATAATATAAACAAAATATATATTCTTAAATTATGCAAAGTCTCTCAATAATAATTGGGCCTCACCGAAGCAAATGATTTCATGCATATGTGATCAAATAATTATTGTGATATACTTTGCTCTGGTTAATGTTCAAATATAAATAAATCTAACTCTTCTATATCACCACTACATATCTTATGAGATTTACTTTTGACACATAGTCTATAAAGTGTGAGCAAGTACGTAGATTAATTATATCTGCTTATAAAACCTCCTTAAGTTCATTACAATCAATTATCCTCGGAATATTTCCACAAAACTAAATAGCAATACATGGCGAGAGCGGGCGCGACGCTCGCCACTAGGGTGACTCATGCCTTTATCCCCACTCCTCGCGGACAGAGCGAGGTAGCGACGGACTGTTTTTCGAGCCCTACTTCAACCTGAGAGCGCAATCCAGGGAGTTATTATACATCGATGGTGCTAACCTCATTAACCAATACTGAGTACTGAGTTAACTTGAGTACTGTTTGTTGGTTCAGGTTAATAATACGGTGCGCTTTTTTAACCTGGAGGCGAGTTAGCGCAGCGAATGAGTTCCAACCTAAAGGTGAGTAAGCGTAGCAAACAAACTTCAACCAGGACTGCTTATTATTTTATTCCTTTTAGTTGTGCTACGGTATAATTTTTCTATTAGAAAGGGGAGGATAAAGGATTGTTGGGAAATGGAGAAAAAGGGTGACAGACCCTAGGTTTTAATTTTTTTACCTCAAGTTAAAAAATCTTAGCTCTTAGGTCTTGGGGAAAAATCAGGTTGCTTTGGAAAGTATTGATTAAAAATATAATAATTATATTATATTATATTATATATTATATTATATTATACAATGTACAATATTGTACACGGTTAGGGATCTTGTGACATGAATTCCAGGGGGAGGAGAAGATAACATTCACAAAACAGGCCAGGCCTAACCATAAAACCCTAACATTGGAGAATTTACTTGAATGAATGAATAAAGTGCTTTATTTTTTGATAAACATTCCTCACGTAACATAATCAAACACTTAATTAAACAATGGTTTACGACCGTCTGTTTGGTTGGCACTCTAAATGTTAAAACACAATCCTGAAAATAAAATAAAAACAAAATACACTTAATTCCTAACATACACAAATAAAATTAAAAAAAATATCCAACTACATCCATTTTACATAAAACTTAAAACCTATTTCATGATGGTTTAGATAACTTTTTTTTATTTATCTAATTTTCAAAATTATTAGGTTTTAATAGGTTTATGCATAGTAAAATCTATACAAATTACTATGAATATTCAATATAGAAGACAGGCTGACAAGTTTTTTGACATAATTATAGTTTTGCTATCATTATGCCCCCTCAGTTCATTTTTATCTAGAACAAGTTTATCTCTATGAGCTGCAGACAAGCCAATTTTTCCTGGCTATTGCAGCAAGCTTTGTTTATGAAATGTTGTAAGATTTTTGTGATTTTTCAAATAAATAAATAATTTAGAACATTGAAAGAGAAGTTATATTGATAATGCGGAAATTACATCTAAACTGTAGGATACACAGCTGGTAAGGTATCACACGCATTTTCTTATAACTCGCCGGTTCCATTGTCTCTGCCCTCCCCTCCCCTCACCAGTATTTCTATTGCGGTGTTGTATATGATGCTTGAATTAAAATAAAGTTGGTCGTTTAGAACATTATCCTTGTCTGATTTGACTGCTCTATACATCTCGAATTCTTCCAGGGTGTTAATTTTAAACTTATCTTGTGACGTATGTAAAATTTCCTTGTTTTCATTAATACTACTGTAATTATGCTGATATGAAACTGGATGTTCTGGTCTTCTTTGGTATGTGCTCTTTAAAGCGTTTCGAGAAAGAGCGGGAAGTTTTTACAATTGTTTTTGTAAACACCACTTTTATTATACTTGTGTTTAGTTGTATTTGGCCTTTTTTTTTAATAGTGGTCCCATAATGTTTTTTGTTCTAAAGGATACTGTTATACACGAATACTAGAAAAATACCGGTATGGATCATAAATAAAAACAAATGACGTTTTTGGCCCGAAAATAAACATTATTAAACATTGTTTAAATGGAACTGCCAAAACATATGTTCAATGCTATTAGTATAGGATTCAGGCCAACGTCATTTGCTTATGTTTATGATCCATACCGGTATTTTTCTAGTAATTGTGCTGTTATATTATTCTTCCCCATTTAAGGATTTGAATTTATTGCCAAGAGAAGAACTATAGTCAGCTGATAAAAACTTTTTATTTTGGTTCACTCTTTGAGTTTTATTTTGGTGTTTCAAAATTTATTTATTTATTTATTAGTGAGGTTGTGAATCTGTTGGAAACTGCAATGTGGTTGATAATGTTTATTTCTTCATTGAAATCCACCCTGCTCATTGGGATTGATAATAATCTATTTACAAAACAATGGTATGCGGCTAACTTTTGTGATAATTGATGGTGTGAATCTGAATGTATTGTTTGATCGGTGCAGGTGGGTTTTCGGTAGATTTTGAATTTTAAGCTGCTATTATGTTTTGATATGGTAAGGTCCAGAAAATTATCGTCGTGTTGAAAATTGTGCAGTTTAACATTTGTAAGGTCAGTTAAAAACATTACAGGACTCAACCAGGAAAAAAATTTAAAATGGATAAAAAAATAATAAAATCCTGGGATTGGCTTCTAGACAAATTGCTAAATCCCAGCATTGGATTAAAGCTCCGGAATTAACACCCCTATGCATCATCTCCCTCGTATGATGGTGAAATTAAGAACATTTTTTGCAAAAAGGGTAAAATTATGAATGTCTTTCATAGTAATGGAAAAATCTTTAAAGACTTCTGCGGTTACAGGAAGATTTTGAACACCTTCCACAGTCAGGGGAAAAAGTGAACATCTTCTGTGAAATCGTGAATGTCTTCCGCCAACTGTTGGCTCGACCCAGCCAAAAAAATATTGGGAATAATGCCGGGTGGTAACCCCTATTTTCAGTGCAAGCAGCAGTGATTAAAGGTTTTTGAGCTAATTACACAAATAGCATGAATACTTTAAAATGTAATTATAATATTTTCAACAAGATGTTAGTAGGTACTGGTAATATATTTTTTCACCCTTACTTGCACGAATATTGCTGTTTTGATTGTTTAATTAGTATATTTAAATTTACAAAATAGTTTTAAAATTCCTCAGTCTACTTACCTGAGCCACAGGTATAAGTCTAGAACATCAAATATTGCTTCTAAATGAACTAAATCTAGAATGGTCTTGGGCATGGTGACAGGCCAGCCGACGTTGCGACACAACCAGTCAAAAGTCAGAGCTTCATTCTTGCTGTACTGACGAGCAAACTGAAATATCACAGGTCATGTCACAGCAAAGAAAATTACATTTTACTATTACATAATATTATATTAGTTTGAGTTATGCAGTAGCATTGAGTACATTAAGACAAATCATCTGGGAATCCCTGCATCATGCCCCCCCCCCCTTGTTTCAGAACATTATCACAACTGTGCACACTTGCAGTTTTACATGAAAATCTCAAGTCAAATGTAAATAATGTAGGGTGTGTGCTAAATGTGTTGAAATTTATACTTATCAAACAAAATAAATTCAGAGCATATTTTAAACAACACCTACATTCAGTATCACTAAGGAAAAATATGTAATATCCAATACATAACAATCATCATTGATAAAAAAATAAGGTTCTTGAAATGAAGCATTAACCTGCTTTAGATCTGCAAAGAAATACTCACTCAGGATACTAACTTCTCATGGCAATAAATATTATCTCCATCACTAAATAGTTTATTGATAAAATCTCAAATGTTTCATATGGTTGAATAAGGAATATATCTAAAATAAACAGTATTAGCAATCTGACACATACTTTCTCCCATAAGCTTGTCAACAACCTTTATCATGGGTAAGCGGTGGAAGTAACTATGATATTTTATAATCACAAAAGTTGCAATGGCTTTTTGAACCGTAATTTTTACGGAAATGGGATTTGAACCATTTGTTCAAAATTTAAAGGACTATAACATAACCTACTAAAATGTTATCAAAATTGTTCGGGCCATTTTAGAGAAGATCCGGTTTTCCCGTTTTTTTATGTGTTTTAAGGGAAAATAACCATTAAAATCAACGTTTCAAAAAAGTGAAAGTGCTCAGTAGCTCTGTACACATCCACAGATACACACATACACACACACGCACACACACATATCACTACAAAAAACCACTTTTTTGGGTTCAAGGGGACCCAAAACGGATGTATCCACGAAAACTCAAACACGGAAATTTTGACGAAAACAATACTTTCTCCATATACTATGTATAGGGGAGAAAGTAATATGCCAATTCCCAATGGTCAAGTTGGACGGGTATGAAAAGTAGGCCCTACTCACAAGATAAACTTTAAAACTTTTACACCGTTAGTTAATTATTTTCTTTATAATACATAAAATAATAATAATAATAAATACCTTGAGAAACATAGAGCAAACAAAAGGCATCTTCTTGTTGATAGGAGAGCAGCAAAACACATAGCGGGCTCGCAAAGGTAGAGGAACGTGTTGGATCATGTCAGCCAGAAATTTAAAATCCTCCACATTGCACATGAAGTAGAGGGAATCATCAACCGTTGACAGAGTCACAAAAATATCCTTAACATTAAAAGAAAACATTCAGTGTAATCAGTAAAACACTACGTAAAACTTCCTAAGCAAAAACATGTGTCTCGTATACAAATAGTAAAGATGGATCAGGGTCAAAAATGTCCATCCTTGGCTTTGGTCTGCACCGAGAATCAATAGCTTGCAGTCTTGTAAATTTGTAATTGAATATCAGTCATATAACATAATGATTAGTTGGAAAGTTTGAATATATCTTACATCAGTATCTTTTTACAGGATATGTGTGTCTCTTATAAATTCAATACACTGTATCGACTCAACTGGATCTCTAAGGGCCACTTTCCGCAAATGTAGTTTAACTTAACCTTAGTTAACTTTAAACGGCGGGTTAAACTTAGGATGGCTTTCCCCACTATTTTGTCATGGAAGTTTAGTTCAACCAAGCTTTTTTTGCAAGCAACAGTGTTGGCAACACAGTTATGCAGTTTTGTCTGAAATATTAGCTGTTTAGCTCCTCCCCACTATGACATTATCTGTCATTTATTTATTTTCTCGTGTTTTGGTTGTTTGTATTAAGTTTCGTGTCACTGTCTTCAACTGATGACATTAAAAGGAAACATATTTGCAGGCTACTTGCTGCTAATTTATAATCATTTATTGTGTTTGTTATGTTATTTAAACTTGTGTAGGCCTACTGTACACATAAAATACCTGCAATAATTCCAATCAAGGGAAAATAATTTATTTCCAGTTCAATTTATTTTGGGTTATGTTGAACAAACATCAAACAAGGATATTTGCCATTGCCGAACTTAACAAGTCAGCCAATCAAAATCAAGCTATTATTCTTCTCTCCTGGTTTAACCCATAGATCGCCGGATAAACCAGCCTCTAGCGATGGGGGTATTTTTGTCCTTTGACGCTAGGCACGAGCCCGGGATTGTTTTTCACATAAATTCAGGCTAGACCTAGGGGTTGCATCATTATCACTTAGATAAAATCCTTTGGTGATTTGGCGGGGTTTGGACCCAGGACCCCCGGGACCGAAGTCCCGTGCTCTAACCACTACAACAGCTTGCTCCCCACCCTGAGGATTAACTCAAACCTAGATTAAACCGAGAAATTATTTTGGAGAAAGTGAATCTGAGGTTAAACTAGATTTGGGGAAAGCGGCCCTAAATTTACTACTTTTACACCCCTAATGTCCCATAGTACAGTCGGAACCCATTTTGGTGAAAATTATTAATTTGATTTAACTTAGGGCTTTAGCGAAATAAAAAAAATTCTTGAGCAACTGATTCTGTTGAAAGAATAGAATTATTACCGTTAATAAGGATTATTCGTATGCATGGAATTGTCTTCGTTCATCTCATATGTGACTTAAGAGCATACTCCTAGTTACTGTAAACCTAAAAATATAGTAATACCATGAGATTGGCGAGTGTGGAGTTTGGTAAGTGGTAGGCGTACAGTTCTATCTGCTCTGCTGTGGGATGAAGACCAGCCTTGGTGATAGGCTCAGGTGTCTGAGACAGCAGGTTACGTAAGGTATGCAGATCCTCATGTTTGAACGTAGTAACATAACCCTGTAGGGACATAGTTATACCATGAGATTGGCAAGTGTGGAGTTTGGTAGGTGGTAGGCATACAGTTCTATCTGGCCTGCTGTGGTGGGTTGAAGACCAGCCTTGATGATAGGCTCAGGTGTCTGAGACAGCAGGTTACGTAAGGTATGCAGATCCTCATGTTTGAACGTAGTAACATAACCCTGTAGGGACATAGTTATACCATGAGATTGGCGAGTGTGGAGTTTGGTAGGTGGTAGGCATACAGTTCTATCTGCTCTGCTGTGGTGGGTTGAAGACCAGCCTTGGTGATAGGCTCAGGTGTCTGAGACAGCAGGTTACGTAAGGTATGCAGATCCTCATGTTTGAACGTAGTAACATAACCCTGTAGGGACATAGTTATACCATGAGATTGGCGAGTGTGGAGTTTGGTAGGTGGTAGGCATACAGTTCTATCTGCTCTGCTGTGGTGGGTTGAAGACCAGCCTTGGTGATAGGCTCAGGTGTCTGAGACAGCAGGTTACGTAAGGTATGCAGATCCTCATGTTTGAACGTAGTAACATAACCCTGTAGGGACATAGTTATACCATGAGATTGGCAAGTGTGGAGTTTGGTAGGTGGTAGGCATACAGTTCTATCTGGCCTGCTGTGGTGGGATGAAGACCAGCCTTGATGATGGGCTCAGGTGTCTTCAAGAGTGATTATTTGTTGTAAATAAAATTTGGAAAAATAGAAAGAAGCTATACAGAATAAGAGTACTCTAGAACTCCAACTATCCGAATTCATTAGGACCTTAACATAATAATTAAAAATTCAGATAATTAGATATTGCCGAAAGAGAGTCGAGCCAAGCTTTTACTATTGCAATTGCAGAATGCGTCTGCAAAGATTTTTAAATAAAAAAAATCAAGCTTACACCACGATAGTGGAATTAGAAGATGTTCACATGATCGCGGGGTATAATGATGATGTCAACAAGACCGAGGAAGATGTGCAAGATTTTGCCGTGATCGTCTAAAATGATGACCAGTTTCCATGACCAAGGGGACGATGATCATGGATAAACAACCGTGGGATGTATTTTACATTCTGCCGCAATTACTTAAGAAGATAATGATGTTTCCGTAACCACAGTATTATGCTCTACATTAAACAAGCAGCTCTACTTGGAGGTCACGAATTGTGGAGATTTATAGGCATACACGGTGGATGCGATACACCCTGGTATTGATTAACGTCCGCACTAGTGAGTACTACGACTATCCGCAGTACTATCCTGATAATTAGACCAATTCGTTATTACAAGGTAAAAATGTGGTTCGGATTCACTATAAACTGTAGGTCCCTTAGTTGCCATTGGCTGTGTGGGCTATTAACTAACAGCTGTGTCTAAGTAACATGTTGGCCTTAGTCACTAACAAGACTACAAGATCGGACCACTGATCCTACACTCATCTCCATTAATACTTGGCTTAAAATACCTACATTTGTATGGATGCCATCATATCATACTAATATTATAAATGTGAAAGTTTGTGTGTTTGTTTGTTTATTTGTTTGTTTGTTTGTTTGTTTGAAGTTCAATCACGCATTAACTAATGGTCGGATCACGTTGAAATTTGGTATGATGATAGCTCACATTCCCGATTAACATATAGACATATTCTTACCTCAAAAATCCTTTCGGGCTCCGCCCCAGCGGCTCTAGAGTTTCCCATGTTAACCTTATGAGTATTCATATTTAAAAGGAATGAAATAATTTTGCCAGCTTTTTCAACTACACAATTTGTTTCTATGATATTCAATAGCATTAAAAGGTTATAGGTACGGTTTACCAACAGGGTGCAGCACCATTAGTTCTTTAAACATTTATGACAACAGCTAATTTGAAGCAAGCAGCAACAAAAAAGCTGTGAGATTTTTACATTTTTCTATTGGTTACGTGCAGTGGTAGAGCATGGCTATGGTAAACGTGATGTATTATAGTATACAGTAGTAAATCATAGTAAACCAAATTTTTTTAAAACGTGTCCTCTCCCATTGAAAACGCAAAGCATGAGTATTCAACTACAATAAGCATTGTATACCAACCCCGTACGAAGGACGGGTACTCAGCTAGTTTCAGAATAAAGTATAAAAAAGTATAAGGTTAAATTAAGGTTTGTAATAACAAGGCCACCTTATCAAACTGAGTCCCATAGCGCCCAGCTCGGCCAGCAATCTGCAATGCCTGAGACACTGAGATGACGTCCATCTCCTTCTCTCCTTTGTCATTCATCACAGGCTTGATCAGCGAGTAAAAAATCACTCTTCTTATGCTCCTAGATTGTGAAAAACCCATTTAAAGTTATGAATTTTAAAGAACAGGAAAAGAAAAAGCGTTATATAAGTGTAAGGAATATTTACCTTGACAGATGATTTATAGTAACTGGACTTTGGTGGGTAAACCATAGTCCCTATAACTACTCCAGATTACTTTCATCAGACAAGCAAGGCGTTATAAATCAAGGGGTTATTTTAATAATCAATCACGAGTGTAATACTTTAGAAGCCGCTTTGCGAGTGACGATAACACCGCTATCGCGAGAGATGTTCACGATAGTTCCGCGAACGCAGGAGGCAAAGTCATTTCGACGATCGCGCCGTTACCGCGGAGTCATACCGACGATTGCGCCATGACCATGAGTCAAGTTTCTATACCTGTAAATTTTTACTCATTTTTTGGTTATGATAGATCAGTGCTACAAATGGTAAAAATTGATTTTGTTTGCCTTTTTTGGTAACTGCATTACTCAAGACTTTCTTTTTATGCACAGGAAGAAATCCCGTGACCGCGGAGTCATACCGACGATCACACCATGACTGCGGAGTGATACCGACGATCACGCCGTGATTGCGGAGTCATACAGACAACCACGCCGTGACCGTGAGTCTTAAGTTTCTATACCTGTAAATTTTTACCCATTTTTTGGTTTTGATAGATCAGTGCTACAAATGGTAAAAATTGATTTTGTTTCCCTTTTTTGGTAACTGCATAACTCAAGACTTTCTTTTTATGCACAGGAAAAAATCCCGTCCTGAAAATCGGGAACAAATTAAAAATTCAATCCCGTCCATCCCTAAAATTAGTCCAGCATCTAAAGGGGGTTGAGTATGCACTGCAGTAAAAATAAGAGAAAAATTCCATAAACCTAAAAAAAATTAGCACAACCGGGGAATTTGGTACAGATGTTGGGTGTACCTTCCTTTTGAACATACTAAAAGTCCCCTAAAATTGAAGCTGTGCTACGGCCGCCATATTGGAAAATGGCGGCATATTTCCGTATTTTTCGCTATAGTGACTTTATTATTAGAGATACAGGAAAAAGCTAAATATACAAAATGTAGGTAATCTAAAAATACACATTTTTTGTATTTACCATCTTTCTCTAAACCCAACGGTTTTTTAGTTATTTGTTATTAAGTATAGATAGTTTTTTCTATTTATCAAAAATAGGTGAAACGCATGGAAATTGTCCGTTACTTTCAAGGATTATGATAATTTATCCTATTTAGTTAAATAGTGTGATACTATAAAATCTTAAAATTTAAGCTTATTTTATGAGTAAAACAACTTTGCCACAGCAAACCTGCAGACTCAGCAAATTTCCTTTTGATTGGATGTTTTATTAATTGTATTTAAATAAAATCAGATTCAACAGGTACCTAGGTTTGCTGCTACAGGTAGGTTATTATAGTGTGTTTTTTTAGTAAAATATCAATAACTTAGTATAAAATAATTAATTTTCCAAGTTTGATCATAATTAATCTATAAACAAACAAACTGCAACAGTTAACTAATTCAAAATAATAGCATGGTAGCTTAAGATTTACAATTTACAAATTTAAATATACAAATTTTGGTTGTGTTTACTAAAAATATGGCGATTATTCGTCACGATTCGAATACTAACCGAAGGGGTTTTCAAAAGGAGATGAAGCAAGTAATTTAAGTACTGTAATATTAACTCGTACCAAGTATCGGAAATATTGTATGGAGTGAGGAAATCAACCATATTTTGTAAACTACGCAATAGTCATATTAATATTTTATACTCATTTGTACCCATTTAATAAATAAACATTTTAATATTTTGATAGAACTACCACTATCACTCTGATATCAACTAAGTGGGATGAATAATTGTCGTAAACCTTGAAAGCAACCGTCAATTGCTTCACCGATTTTTGATAAATAAAACTAACTATACCATGCTTAATTAGTCACCAACATGAACTAGACACGAAAAACACCCTTCCAAATTTACAATGGGATGTCAAGTATCGTTAGTTAGTGTGGTGGTGCCATCAAAATACTAAATTGTTAACTATTAAATGGATAAAAAATAAGATAAAATATTAATATGACTATTCCATACTTTACAAAATATGGTAGATTACCTTACTGCATACAATATTTTCGGTGCTTGGTACGAATTAATATTACTTAAATAACAGGCTCCATCTCCTTTTGAAAACCCATTTGGTTAATATTCTAATCGTGACGAATAATCGCCATCTTTTCAGTAAACAAAACCAAAATTTGTATATTCAAATTTGTTTATTGTAAATTTAAAACTCCCATGCTATTCTTATGAATTAGTTAACTGTTGCAGTTTGCTTGTTTATAGACATATTTTGATCAAACTTGGAAAATTAGTTATTTTATAGTAAGGTATTGGTATTAAAAAAAAAACACTATAATAACCTCCCTGTAGCAGCAAACCTAGGTACCTGTTGAACCTAATTTTATTTATATACATTTTTTAATAAAACATCCAATCAAATGGAAATTTTCTGAGTCTGCAGGTTTGCTGTGGCGGAGTTGTTTTACTTATAAAATAAGCTTAAATTCTTAGATTTTATAGTATCACTCAATTTAACTAAATAGGATAAATTATCATAATCCTTGAAAGTAACGGTCAATTTCCATGTGTTTCGCCTATTTTTGATAAATAGAAAAAACTAAATATACTTAATAACAAATAACTCAAAAACCGTTGGGTTTAGAGAAAGATGGTAAATACAAAAAATGTGTATTTTTAGATGACCTACATTTTGTATAATTAGCTTTTTCCTGTATCTCTAATAATAAAGTCACTATAGCGAAAAATACGGAAATATGCCGCCATTTTCCAATATGGCGGCCGTAGCACAGCTTCAATTTTAGGGGACTTTTAGTATGTTCAAAAGGAAGGTACACCCAACATCTGTACCAAATTCCCTGGTTGTGCTAATTTTTTTTTTGTCAAAACATATTTTTACTGTACTAAAAGTGTAACTGTAGTTTATATGGTAGTTAAGTTTTAAAATTAAGTACACCATTTCCAAGCCTATTTTAATATTCTTTTAATAAAAACCATATACATTTCAAACTGAAGCATTTTCATTGATATTTTTACCTAGATTGTTGTTTAAACTTTATATTTAAAATAGCTTAGTGATAAACAGCTTATAATTATTTTCCCGTTAACTTGAGAACTCCGTACACATTATTTAAAGGAAATAACACTTAATGTTTTGTAATTCATGTGTTGAACATAGAATGCACTCCAAACACAGTACTATTTATTGTTTTATGGGAGTTATATAGGTAGATTTAAACAGTATTTTTACTTTAAATTTGTAATTTAAAATTAAATGTTAAATAACTGAATTATTATCATTGATATGGGATTTTTCATTGTAAAATCTTTAAAGCAGATGCGGTTTGTAATACAATGCCGTTTAAAACATGTTTCTTTCGTGTCTAGTTCACGAGATATGAACGATGTTCTAGAACACGCCTCAGCGCTACTTCCCCCCTCCCGCCGAAGTTGTGCACTTGCTGGGAGGGCGACAACATTGGTTTTTGTCATCTCCAAGGTGCCCCCAACAACAATCAAAAGTCAAAATGCGTTACACTTTCAGTACATACGCAATTTTTACAAGTCTGTACTACACGTTGATTTCTGCCGCGCAGCAGCGTCACCAGCCTCACTGTGCCACTTCATCGGAAACCTCGCAAAGCTTTGTAATATTTCGATATAATTATCATATAAAGTGACTTTAGTGTGTTAAAAATACTATGCACGATTAAAGAAATGTACTGTTTGTTGTTTAATAGGGTTTTTAATGGATAGTTTAACGTTATTTAGGGGTTCTAATTCAAATTTTTTAATAAATTGTTAAATAGCTCAATTAATATCATAGATACGGGACTTTTCCTTGATATTGCTTTAAAGCAGATGAAGTTGGCAATACAATACCGTTTAGTGCTTGCTTCTATCGTGTCTAGTTCATGAGATATGAGCGATTTTCTAAAACGCGTCTCAGAGCACCTTCACCCCCTCCCCCCAAGTTGTGCACCTACTGCGAGGGCGACAACATCGGTTTTTGTCATCTCCAAGATGCGCCCAACAAGAATCAAAAGTCAAAAAGAGTTACACTTTCAGTGCATACTCAACCCCCTATAGATGCTGGACTAAATTTGGTAATCCAAGTTTCTGTAAGCAATAGGGATGGACGAGATTGGATTTTTAGTTCGAGACAAGACGAGACAAGATTTTTTATTTCTCATAAAATTTCGAGACGAGATCGAGACGAGATTTCTCTTCTCATACACAACGGGAAATGCACGTTCGAAATTTTTACCTGATTTTGTAACATTGTTAGATGACTGTTTAAATACTAAAATAATGATAATAGGCAAGAATATTTACAATCTTTCATTAAATAACATCAGCATAACATTTTTTTATTAATCACGCCTAACTTATTAAAAATGCCTACGATTAGGAAACATGGTGATATCAGTTAGGATAGAGTTCAACTTATCCTAAAATAAAATAAATCATAAAATAAAAGCAATATTAATTTTTATAAAATAGTTACTTGTTTTGAATTTTTTTATAGTAATAAAACATTCCTCACACTGCTTACACTTAACAAAACTTCTCAAATGTTATTAAAGTAATATTATTAAAATAATGAAAGTAATATTTACATTAAAAGAATTAAAGTAATATTTACATTAAAAGAATTAATTAAATAAGAACGCCTACGAAAAGGAAACGCAACTACAACACGCTCCTGTATTGCGGGTATTGCATTGACTTTCTGCAGGCGTTTTTAATTTTTTTTTTTTTTTTTTTTTTATTCTCGTCTTGATAAAAATCTCGGCCAAAAAGTAATCTCGTCTCGTGTAACGAGATTGAAAATTTCCCGAAAATTTCCCGAAATTTCGAGACTTGACCATCCCTAGTAAGCAATTATGGCACATCTTGATTGCATAGATATATTTAAGTCAACTCTTCCTAACTATAAATTTACTATTTTGATCTTGTTGTGTTTGATTGATACTGACCAAAGGTTTATGATTAAATGAAAGGATGAGGATTTCCAGCCTTTTTTTTTAGTTCTTACTACCCATCCTTGTGAAACATATTAGTTGCACTCAATATGACATATCACAATCAATAGTCAAACTACCATAATATGAAAATCAAGAGAATTATGATGTTGTGGTTTCAAGCATTCCGACAATGTTGAGTGTTTCAAGAAGCGTGGACAAATGTAATTTAAGTAGCTATTTGGAGCCATGTGTATTTTTTCTTTCTGTAAACTTCAATTGAGATTGTCTACAACGGTGTACATATTTAGTAAGATCCTCCACTACTGTATTCTCTATCACTTACAAGTTGAGTCCCATTCCAATGGCATCTGTAGCTACCAGGACCTTGCATGAATTGGCCGGGTCATTGAACTTCTGTGCTTGGGCCAGCTTGGTGCCAGGCGGTAGACCTCCATAAATCACAGCCACCTCCATACCTCTAGCTTCTATGCCTCTGCTTACCTATACACGTTCAATTAGTTGACTTGTTTTGTTGGGTATGCAGTCATGAATGTTACAAGAACATCATTTGGTTGAGGACTCTTTCATTCAGTCTCTGTAATATTGTCTACAAATTAAACCAAAACTTTATTTAGTTAAAAATGGGGCAGCATACACTTAGGGCCGTCGCGTGGTTTATTGGCGCCCGGGGCAGGATGTTGTCAGGTGCCCCCCCCCCCCCCCCATGATGAGTGATGCTCGTTATAAAAAGTTGTGTGGCGGGTTGCGTCGCTATCTGCATTTTATTCCCCAACAACAGACACCCAGAGGATATAATACAAAAATTACAAAAATACTAGAGTCAAGAATCAGGGATTAAATTACTTAAATTTTTGATGAAAATCTTTTTTTTTACCTATAAAAAGTACTATATATGTTATAAATTAATACAGTGCAAATTGGATGTACACTGACACAATATTCACGTAAATAATTCGTAATAACTCATTAAACTAAGCTGACAGCTAAGCTGAGACTGCCGTAGGAGAAAGGAGTGATTGGGGTAGGGGTGACTTGTCAACACTTATATATTTGAAGTGATTGACTCTACCACGAGTCATGTCAGAGTCCCAAGGTCGGCTGTCGGCCGGTCGGGTGAAATAAGACATTGCAATATTGATTTATATTAAGATAATTTAAGTTCGGACAGGGCCTACAACTCCGCAGCGGGGTTAAATATTAGGCTATTATTACTTAACTGAATAGTATACAAGAAAATCCAGCTACTCCATTTTCATAAAATATTTACTTTTGGAAAACATTGCATATACAAAAAGTGATTGGTGTCAAATAATATGTATTTATTCAGTAATATTAAAAAATCGTAATATTCAAAATTCAAATATACATAAACTTTAAACTTTCCAAAATACGTTATGTACATCTAACATATTTTTTCAATTTTGTTGTATTACTTTTTCCATGGCACCCACGGCGCCTCCAAAACCCAGGGCTGTCGCCCCAATCGCCACACCCATGTGACGGCCCTGCATACCGTTACCTGCTTATTGTCACTTTTATATGTATTTAACATCTATGGTGATAAGAATTTGATATGAATGAAAAACCATCAAATTTCATTTCACACTGATGATCATTTTAAAGATGTTTTGTTGCAAATATAAACTTAAATACTGAGGGGCATGGCGCAATTTGCACCATCAACATTTTTGGGGGGCGTGATTTTTTTGGGTAGGATTTTGGTTTTTTTGTAAGGGATTTTATACCAGCAAAAATTGATAGGAAAATTACAAAAAAAATTATCATAAGCAACAGTAAAAAGTACTGTTTATTTATTTAACCATTCAATAAGGAGTTTAGACTTTAGACCAACACCAGAATTTTCCTGTCAATCCGTAAATGTATTGCTCTGGTTAAGAGGACGGTTGGTAGGCCTAATGGCTCGACTTGCAACCATGTCTGTCACAGCCATTAGTTAGAGGATGAGTAAGGAAATAGTCATCTGAAGCGTGCTTTTATTACATTGTACCTTTTTATTTTGCATGAATCGCAATTAATCATACTAGGTAGATAGAGCCTATAAAATATACTCATTCAAATGGATATTTTTTAATCAGGCAATTATTTTTATTTTATTAGCATTTTTGTCATACTCTTGTAATTTTAGCCTATATGATACAACTTACAACATCAGTAATAACCTGTTCCAATGTTTAATGATGTAAGATAACGATATTAGATATATTAATGCTAAGTTTATTAATTTCCTAATTTATTTAGGCCTAATGCAAAATATCTGGTTGATTTAATTTATTGTTTCCATGATGGTGGGGGTTATCTTTTTTACTAAGATAACCCCCACCATCATCAAAACAATAAATTAAATCAATGCATTACTAAACTTTGTAAATTAAGAATGCATGTTGGATAGGTTTGAAAAATATACTACAACACTTACCTACAACAACACAACACTGAACTACAACTGATTCAACCTGTCAAAAGTCAATGATGATATACCTCAAAATGTACCTCATTAGTTTTATTGTTTTATTAATTAGAAACAAATTAGTTACTATTTTATTCATACTATTGAAAGTTGGCTCTGGGCTGGTGCAAGGAGTTTTTTTGCCAGGCTTAAGAGCGTCATTTTGGTGCCCCCTGATACAAACCCACTCCTATCTATATTAAAAAAATATATATATCCTACAAATCTATAAAAAATAAAATATCCTTAAAATGAACAAAGGTTACAAAAGTAAATCAGGTAGGCCTATAATTACTTTTTTGTCTATTTATACAGGGTGTCCCAGAACTCTCTACCAATATTTTAGGGCATTGCTCCTGGGTAAGAAAAATACCTAAATATCATATTTAAATTGTCCGGAAGTCCTTAGTTACTCACACAGCCGCCATTTTTTTTTTCAGTTATTAATTTTTTTCTAAAGAATGGTTAAACATACGAAATGGAAACTTTGCGCAAACATTTATGACAACTAGACAAAGCTACCAAAAAATTATGAAGATTTTTCAAATTCATAAAACAAAATGGCGGCTGTTTAAAATTTTGTTTCTTAAATAACTCGAAAACCGTTGAAAAACTTACATTAACCAAAATGTTGATACACAAATTTTTAGGGTAGTTCAGCCCTATATATATATATTTAACATCCCATCCTTACACCTAAAGAATTTGATTGTTTGTTGTTGTTGAATTGATTGTTTGTTATCAATAGTTGGCGCTACTGATGAACAAAGAATTGTAGGCCTACTTAAAATTTTGATCAATGGGGAAAGGTTTGTGAATTGTACATACATTTATTATCCAAGAAATTAAAACTTTTTAATGAATACCAATAAAATTCACCACAAATCACCATTCTCTATCCACTTAGATGTCTCACAAAATGAAGTACGACGATGTTTCTGTAATCCATGAGAAATAATCTCAACCTTGTCGTGATTGAGGGAGGTAGCCACGACTTTGCCGTGATTGTGGGATACGACCAGGAAGTCGCCTTAATCGCAGGATATGACAAAGACAATGTTAGCGTCAAGTATGTGCACAGAGTTTTTGGGTGCTATCTAGAGAAGAGAAATATGCTAATTTTCTGTGAACTTAGGAAAATGACACGCTGAAATCCAGTAGCAAAAGAAATTCTGCATCTAATGTGCAACTTCATATGTTTCTGATATAGTCCTTTAGTTGGAGTAAAGAAGTGTGAAGCCTACAAAACCGCGGTAGGTGTGCGTTTTTACTGACATACTAATGTTATAATTTAAAGGGTGGAGTGTAGATGTCATGCTTTGGGAGGGTGGCATTAGGCTTGGTTTAGGGGGGGGGCATGCACCATTGCCCTTGGGGGGGGGGGGGGGCTGGGCACCCCAGCTTAAAAAAGCTTTCAAATTTTAGTTTTTAAAACGTTTTTTTAGCCATAATTCTTTGAAGAAAAAAATACCCGTTGCAGTTGTCTTTATGGTTAACCCTCGGACCTCTTTACCTTTTGTTATTTGTAACTGTACGTGACTGTTTCCATTTACAACTGGCTTATTATCATGCTATGTTTTTAAGCTGTAAGAATAACAGTTGAATATTCTAATAATGGATTATTATTATTATTTAATATTTAGGGATATAAAATAGTTAGTACAATAGCAAATGTGATTTTTAACCACCAACATGTAACAGCATTTTGTGACTAGTCCAAATGATGAACTTACTGTATAGACGTCGTTTTTACTGAAGCACACAATGCAGTCCCCAGGAAGAACATTGTCAAGGCTTCCTAGGCCATTGGATTCAATTGTGAGTTCTGTCAGTCTTTTGTATTTGCAAACCTGGTAAAACCAAAATTAGAGCCAATTGATACTATATTACATGAAGTATTACATAAAGCTTAGTTACTAGTTATAATAAAATAATAGTACATTTTATAAATGGAAAAGTCAATTATTGATGGGAAATTCAGCAAACTTTGCCCACAACCATAGTTGAATGTGTCTGCTGTATTCTGGTGGATATATATAATAATAAAGTTATATTTGTTGTACCTACCTCAATATCTTCACCCGTGGTGACAGCTAATGCTTTGACCAGGTCTACTGCTCCTTCCTCCCCACACACATGGATCTCCTCAGCCATTACTCCCAGTAGTGTCCTGGTCTATGCACAACCTTATCCTGGATCTCTCATCATCTGAAGCATAGTTGTTGTACCTACCTCAACATCTTCACCCGTGGTGACAGCTAATGCTTTGACCAGGTCTACTGCTCCTTCCTCCCCACACACATGGATCTCCTCAGCCATTACTCCCAGTAGTGTCCTGGTCTATGCACAACCTTATCCTGGATCTCTCATCATCTGAAGCTTAGTTGTTGTACCTACCTCAACATCTTTATCCGTGGTGACAGCTAATGCTTTGACCAGGTGAACCATGCCCTCGCGCCTGCACCCAGACTAACGAAAAGGAAGCGTGATCCATGCGCAGGCCCGAGGAGCGGCTCACAAAACTTTACTTAACAAAATGAGAACCATGGATGGAGGCTCAAGAACAACACGCCATTTGAGAGAAACGAGCTGTAATTAACCATTTAAAAAAATAACACAACAATAACATCAACAACAATAATTAACAATAATACATGAATTAAATACTCTCAATTAAACTTTAAAAATTTTGATACCCGTTTACCCTACTAACTTACATTTATTTCATTAATCATTTTCAAATAGGCTAAATTTCAAAATAAATCTTACTAGCTTTTACCTTTCAAAAAACTTTTAAATTAACAAATTACAACATGATATATATAATGACTCTTTTAATAAATTCATTTCATCTGGTAACTATAGAAACTTTAGGGGCCCCAAATTAGAATTCAATAGAATATTTAATAAAATTATAAAATTTAAAAAAGATCAACAAGTAGCCTAGGCTAAAGAATTTAAAATTTAAAAAGAAAAACAATTAATAAATCTCTGTGCACAAATTAACAAATAGGTAACGAAATCTCCAAGTCCAGGACGGTGGTTAGCAATAATTAATTAGGCCTAAAACTTGCGGAATTTGCGGTACTAGTTCATGTTTCTGGGCGAGCAGCACCGGAGGGGAAGCAGGCATGACGGAAGAGGGGGGCCAAGATCCAGGGGTGGCCAAGAGTTGTAATTCCCACTCCGCCAAGGCTGATGCAGACTACCGGTACTCCATGTTCCTCCTCACGGGCCCCAAAAGGCGCGCGTGGCGCACTTGACTTACTCCATAACCTCGCAGACTAAGCACAAAGTAAAAAACTTACACAACCTTGTATAAATCATGTGCCAAAAGGGCGATTTAAAACGATGAAAAATGTCTGCGAGGTTAACTAGTTGATTGTCACGCAACCTCTGAAGTGCTTGGCGGTGGGAGTAAAAAGAACAAAACCCACAGCCTTGTTCGGGGGGCCGTGGAGTGAGAAACACTGAACTAGCCTACTATAAAAAAAACACTTGAACCATTGATCATGAGTCGTGACATTCGCCCGGTGGAAATAGTCACGGCTCAACCTCCCTCCCCAAAAGAGGACACTCCTCTCCAAAAGGGACAAACAAACAAGCCTCTCCCCCACTTCCTGAAAAGAGATTGACCTGAAAGACAACTCAAGTGTCTGTGGTGGGGAACGCCAAGGGACTTCCAAACTGAGGGGAAAACTCACCCCCAGGGTTTGCTCTGGCCAGAGCTGGAAAATTTTGTGAGGGAAATTCCTTCGCAGAACACAGGGGACAGGAGAAGTGATCAGGTTCTCTGGCCCAGTGCACTTCCCACCCAGACACAAGAGGAAAGAAAATTGCCTACGGAAGAGTTCCGCGGAAGGGCTTGAGATGAGAAATGTGCGCCCTCCGGAACACTTTTCCAGTCCGCGGATCTCCAAGCTCCGCCGTGACAGGCGTCAAAAACCTCAGGATGCGGTGGGGACCTGACCACCGATGACACAACTTTGCAGCTCTCTTGTCCACAGCCGAACTGGCTGGATGAGCTTTACAAAACACCAAATCCCCCACCTGGAAAGGGTTGTCTACTCTACCACGATTGTGCTTCCTCCGGACCAATTCCCTAGCTCTGATCAAGTTTCTCCTGGCCGCTTGCCAAGTTGCCTTGACATCAGCCGCACCAGGAGGTGGCAGAAGGTCGCCAATTCCCCACACATTCGCTAACGGGTTGTTAGGCGGATAGCCTAGAAACAGCTCGAAAGGGACCGCCTTGTGACTCTCATGGTGAGCAGTATTGAAAGCAAACTGAAGCCAAGGGAGTTCCTGATCCCAGGTGGTCTGCTTGTCAGCATGGAAAGCTATGAGAGCGGAACGAAGATTGCGATTGAACCTTTCAGCATGAGAAGGCTGTGGATAGTAAGGGGAAGTAGTCACATGGCGGATTCCGTGCCCAAAGCACATTCTTTTGAACAGATGGGAAACAAACTGTGTTCCGTTGTCGGAAACAATGGTGGCGGGTATTCCAAAATGTTGGAAGAGGTGAGTTCGAAGTACCTGCACGGTGAGCTGTGCAGTGGCATTCCTTAAGGGGAAAAGCCAACAAAACTTGGAGAAGGCATCCACACAAACAAGTAGGAACTTATTTCCTGACTTGCTACGCGGGAGAGGCCCTACATAGTCAATGAAAACCTTCTCCAAAGGTCTTTCCGCCACCTCAGATGACAACAAACCAAACTTAGAGTTTTGAGCGGGCTTGCTCAGTGAGCACGTTTGACAAGAACGCACCCTAGCAGCAAGATCCCGATCCATACCCTTCCAGATGAACATTTCCCTAACCTTCGCAATGGTCTTGTGGATACCTAGATGCCCACCCACAGGAGAAGAATGAAAATACTCAAAGACCATAGGTATTAGAAGACTAGGCAGCACAACTTTAGGTTTACCTCGCTGCCGAGCGCGACAGCAAAGGGCACCCTGGGACAGAAAATATGGGGGGTGGGCTCCCCCATTTTGAAGCTCACCAATGATCTTTGCCAGCTCAGGATCCTTCAGCTGATGGGGAATGAAATCAGAAAAGGCGAGTGGAAACTCCAAGAGCACGGCACAACCCGGTTGCTCTTGGTCAGAAGGAGGATCGTCGGGTGAATGGTACATCCTAGATAGTGTGTCAGCAATCACATTCTGAGTGCCTCGAACGTGTTGCACTTGGAACTTAAGGGACGATATTTGGACAACCCAACGACCAATTTTCCCAAGCTGGCGTGGATGTGCAAGAAGCCACGAGAGTGCCTGGTTGTCGGTTTCCAATAAAAACTCCTTGTGCTCCAAAAAGCGTCTGAATTTATTGACTCCAAACACGACAGCCAAACACTCGAGTTCATACACCGAAGAGCTTTTCTTTTCGCAGGGACTCAAAGTGCGTGAGGCGTACGCAATTGGCTGCCTAACACCATCCACCTCTTGTGACAACACAGCCGCAATTGCGACGGAGGAAGCATCTGTTTGCAAGACAAAGTTTTGATTGAAATCCGGCATCGCCAAAACAGGGGGCTGCATGATAGCCTCCTTGAGAAGATCAAAAGACGTCTGCTGCGCTTCACCCCAGACAAACTTGGCGCCCTTCTTCCGAAGCTCATTGAGAGGAGCCGCCAATTCAGCAACATTGGGTATGAAGCGTCGGTAAAAACCTACCATGCCGATGAACCTAGCAATACCCTTGACATCTCTGGGAGGAGGAAACTCCCTGATAGCCTGGGTTCTAGCGGGGTCGATGCAGACGCCTCTATGAGAGATAAGATGACCAAGGAACGAAATTTCCGGCTTTGCAAAACTAACCTTGTCAGGATTCACGGTAAGGCCAGCCCTATTCAATCTACTCATGACTTCTTCAAGATGAATCAGGTGATCTTCGAAGCTCTCACTGTACACCAAGAGATCGTCGAGGTAATTGAACACAAACTTGAACTTGACATCATGAAAGATGGAATCAAGGAGTCTGGTGAGAGTCTGGGCCCCCACAGCAAGACCCATCGGAACTCTTGTGAACTGATACAAATTCCACGGAACGCAGAAAGCAGTGAGAGGTCGAGACTCAGGTTTCAAAGGAATCTGATGATAGGCCTGATTCAGATCAAAAACAGAAAAATACTTGGCCTTACCGAACCAATCAAACGCAGAATGCAAATCGGGGAGAGGCACAGAGTCGATTTCAATTTGCGCATTCAATTTGCGATAGTCCAAAACCATTCGGGACTTGCCATTGGGTTTTGGGACGAGAAAAGCTGGACTAGCGTAGCTCGAACGGGAAGGTTCAATGACACCATTTTCCAGAAGTTCGTCAATGATTTTTCTGAGAGTTTCCATTTTGGGTGGAGCTAATTTGTATGGGTGAGAGCGAACGGGACGGGTATCTGTTAGACGAATCTCGTACTCCAACAGGTTAGTGACTCCAAGCTTTGGCGTCAGCACATCTGGGAAACGAGAACACAAGGTTCTGATGGCTTCAGCCTCGCAAGTAGTCAGATGCCCTAACGGATCAATTGTTGGCTTGCTGGGTATCTCAGGCTCGACTACCGCAGCACCACCACCAATTTCATCAGCAAAAGATATTAATACCCGTCTCGCAAATCGGAAAAAACACTGACCTCTGCCTAAATCCAAAATTAGGCCAGTGTGCTTGATAAAATCCGCTCCCAAAATGACAGGGAAACAAAGGTCCTTAGCCACCCAAAAACTCCAAACCCAAGAAAAATGTTCAATTTTGAACTTGAAACGGGCTTCATAGATGATGGGAAGGGGTGAATTTGACGCAGTCCAGCAGATAGGGGTTTTTCGCTCAACTTGCTTGATAAGCCCAGACGATTCAAGTTTT